GAATGGGGGACTGATGGATCTAGACCCCCTCGGATCCTCTCAAGATAGAGACGCATCATTAATGGGGGACAACAAGCATCAAAAAGCCATAATGAATTAAGGGAGGAGAATCTATTATGTGTCTGGTACACCATGCAATCGAAGCCGATCAGGTAGTTTCCAGAGATACAGCGATATTGGCAATAAAAATGACAAGGAGGACGAGTTTGGTCGGGTATACTTTCTCTTACCCTCACAACTTTTTAAAAACTCCACCTTTGTCCCTATTTAAAATGGCGAAAATAGAAAAAAAATTCAGTCCATTCCAGCTCTGGTTTAACATTTTTATCCCTATACTCATCCCACCTCATTTAAGATCAAAAATTCTCCTTCATTTACTTCTTTTTATCAACTAAAATTATGTAGTTATTAAAAATATTTATAAAAAAAAATATGAATAATAAATAATTTAACATAAAATTCAACATTAAAAACATTCTATAGTACCAATTTAATAAAAATATTAGCATATCAAAACCAGACAGGTCAAATAGCATTGTTCCCCATTTACCTATCTAATAAAATAAGTGTACTTAAATAATTTACCTATCTAAACCGGGTGGGACGAGCTCTCCCGCCCTCACACCAAATCCGTGCAGGTTTTCATTACATCAAATCATTTCTATCCAAATAAGCTAAACAGTCTCCCAAATTCGCCAAAAAATAGAGCGGGGCGGGGCAAATTACCATTCCTACTTGGCAGAGATCCGAGAGGTAAATCCTTGAGATTTCGCTTTCGAACCGCACTCCTGACTTGAATGGTACGTGTGTTGTGGGGTCGATACACTTCCTCTACAAAATTGCACATGTGCGTTATGCACAAATGACTCAACCATGCATCGGACACATCGAATACTTTCTCATTAACGAGTGATTGAGACATGGACTGTATTGTGCTATACACTTTTTGAACACATTAAATCATAGTTTAACATAGTTAGCTTGAAGTAGTGACATTAAAATTTAAAGAATATTGATAGGGGCTCAACAGTCAAACTTATCCGACTAATTTTATGTGGGTAGAGTTTGATGTCACTGGGACGTCATGAATATTAATGACATTAGTTTTCACTCAAGTAAATAATCGGATTTATCTGACTTTCAAATTCAGAATTATTATTACTCCATATAATATAAAATGACAGTGTTGAAACTTCTACATTAAATCAATTTTTTACGCAATTGTTTCAAGACTCAAAATAATTATGTCGAAACTCGAAATAATATTGTCCAAGCCTCTAATTTAACACATTAAATCGTAGTTCAACACAACTTAGACTCGAAATTTCATAGTAGTTCAACACTAATACTTCGAGCATGAATAGTGTTACAACACCTTTTTTTAAAAATCTAGAACAGAGGATCCATATATCAAATATCAAGAATTAGGTTCTCCTGTTTTACTTTTAGTTTTTATAAATAATAATTGTGTCATTTCATTGAATAAAACAGAGTCTATATAGAGTGCCCATGTGGTTTCACAATTATTTCCTTTTTTAATTAAGCAAAACACATCCACCCATGACTTCCCATGTGGGGGGACCACTTAAAAGGTTGTTATTTTATCTACCGCGTACACTCAACTCCTTTTAAAGACGTGGCAATTTTAAATTTTATGGTTGTTACCTATTCTTAAAAGAACTCCAATGGTCTTCTATGGGCTCTCAAACTTATAATTTGAGAGATAAGTAAAAGACAAATTCTCCCAACCTTTCATTTGGCCTCTCAAAATTTGAAAATTTCATTTTTTTTCTCTCAAATGTAAGAGCTGCCAAATTTTTTTGGCAAGTCTGTTCAATGGCCTACGACACCGTTTCTTCAGCCAACCCTTTCTCTCTCATCTGCAACAACTATTTCCCTCTCATCTGCAACGCCCCCTTTCTCTCTCATTTGCAACAACCCAATATGCTGCTCAGCAGTGGTTCTGGGTGGTCCAATCGTGGCTCCCTTCGCCGTTGCCGTGGTTCTGATTTGTGGCATGAGCTCCGGTGAAGAGGGCGGCAGCGACCAGAGCTCCGGTTCTGGGTCCCCTTTCTTGCAAACAAATAGATTCCATTGGCTCAGCAGCTCCAATTGTCAAAAGAGGAAATGAAAATAATCCAAATACCAGCACTGAGGGTTCAGATCCCATGAATACACCTGCAATGGTAGATTCCTCAGGTCTTCTTAGCCTATTGGTGGGATGGGGTGGTAAGATAAACCGGAATATATGGGTTTTGAGCTTCTGATTCTTGTAAATTTTGTAGTTTACAGTTGTAGAGAGAGAGAGAGAGAGAGAGGGCAAGTTCTCAGAATTGAGAATGAGATGGAGGCGATTGGGGAGGCTGATATGATTTACCCTAAAAACATATATATTTTTAATAATTATATAATCAAATAGATATAATATACACACATATTATATATATATATATATAAAGAAAAAAAATTATATAAAAAAATTAATTCACAAATAGTGGTAAAAAAAATTATAAAAAATTTGTTTTTTTTTTTATTTTTGTTCCTTTTTTGACTCAATATTTTAGATTTTTGTTTCTTTTTAATTAGATTTAATTTTAGTTTCCTTCTAGTATCTACAACTTGACTTGGAATGTGCATAATATTAATATTATTGATGCAAATATAAATGGTAGGAATGGTAGTTGAAAAAGAATGGTGGTTATGTCAAAAAATAGTATTTTGCACCATTGGAGCAGAATTGCTAAATTGTAGCATTTTGACACTGTAGCACATGTCAAAATATAGATTTGACATCCAATTTAGCATTTTACCATTGGAGATGCTCGGGGTGGGTCAAATATGAGTGAGTAAAATTTGAATTGTTATTCATAATTCAACCTGTTTGTAATGGGTTAAATATAGATTGGGTTAAAATGAATCGGGTTAATCCGTCATGACTCACCAATCTGTTTTAGGAAAAAGATATGTTATTATTTTAGATAATCTCATTATTATAGTTTTTTTAAAAAAAATTTAGATGGATAAAAGTTTGTAAAAATATGTATCGATAATTGTAAATCTTTCGAATTATTTTGAAATTTTTTTAAATTTATATTATATTATATTATTTATAATTTTAAATTCAAAAATTTAGACAGAGAAAAAGAATGATGCAGAATGAATTTTAGAGAGAGTGGGAGAGAGAGAATTTGGGATCGTGTTAGAGAATTTTAGAAAGGAAGAATAAATAAATTTGAGTCAAATAAAAGATGTGAAATTGTGTCTTCTATATAATGGGAAAAACATGGATCAAATTGAATGCACATATTCAATCCATTTAACCTTCCGAATTAAATATGAGTTACCTATTTTAATTTATATTTTAAAATAATTTATCCATATCTATTTTAAATTAGGCAAATATAAACAGATTGATTGATCATGACGCATTTTTCCACCCCTACAAATTTTGCATTGCCTTTCATTCAACCTAATATCTAAAACACTTGACATAAATGGTCTTTTTCTTAAATAGCCTTCGGTACGTTTTCATTACCACTAGCAAAAACTTTGAATTGTGAACTTTTGAGTCCATGACTAGAAACTTTGTTAAATCAAAATATCTAGCACTAAACTGCACAACATTTTTTTTATTTTTTATTTTACCGAACCCCATAAATATCTAGCACCATCCAATGGTGCTGCCATTGTGTTGATGTGTATCACCTAGAAAGGTTCTTACCAAATTAGGTTTAGAAGGGTGTTTGTCTAGTATCAAATGAAAGTAAAATGAATATAAATGTATGAGTATGTAACATTATTTAATAATTTAAATTTTTGAATAAATGAATAAACGGACATCCATTATAATTAGTATTAGAGTCAGACTAAATCTTTAATTCGGTACCACGCCAAGTGCCCGCTCGAAAGACGTTCGAGTGAGCCATCCGGGTAGGTAGGTTGGTCTGACAGCAACGAGGGCGTTACGAATTCGGGTGAAAAAGAATGTTACATGAAGTATTTGTCCCACATCGGATCCTGATGGGAAGTGAAAAGGGTATAAAAGGGTGGGTTTGCCAACACTACCCAATAGCTTAATCTTTTGCGAGTTTAAGTGGGGGAGAATGTTACAAAAGGTATTTATCTTACATCGGATCTAGATAGAAAGTGAAAGGAATATAAATGGGTGAGTATAAATGGGTAAACGGCCACACATTACAATTAGTATCAGAGCCAGACCAAATCTTTGATCCGGTGCCACGCCAAGTGCCCGCTCGAAAGGCGTTCGAGTGAGCCATCCGGGTAAGTAGGGTGGTCCGACCGCAGCGAGGGCATTGCGAATTTAGGTAAAAAAGAATGTTACAAGAGGTATTTGTCTCACATCGGATCTTGATGGGAAATGAAAGGGATATAAATGGGTGGGTTTGCCAACACTACTTAATAGCTTAATTTATTGCGAGTTCGAGTAGGAGAATGGGCAAGCGCACAACAAAGTGGCTCTAATCAATGTTGTGATACTGAGTGGTCTATTTCGCCCAAGAACAATATTAATATTTGGACCGGAAAGTTAGGCAAAATAGTTGAATAGAATATATTTGATTGATTATTAATGCTTGGAAGGTCTCATCTTATTATATTTGACATGCAAGAGTTAAAAATATTAAAAAATATTTAATTTTTAATTATCATTTAAACAATTCAACACTTAAATTTCAAGCCTTAAAATAATTCGTACTTAATTTTCAGTTACCTTCTGGTTACACCCTGCCTATTGGAGTCAAATGGAACCATTACTCATTCAAAAAAGGAGGTTAGAATTAATTGAGCATGTCGAAATCCTTAAACAATAGTGCCAAACATGGTGCTAAATCTGTTGAAATGACATATAATAAACCAATCAAACAACACATGTTGCATGATGTGTGGATATATTATATATAGATATTCCTATCTTGACTACGAAGGGCAAAATGGGAAAATTGTCTTCCCAAGAAAACTATTTTGTCCACCTGGGAACTCCACCTACCAATTCGTTACTGGTGTGTGTCGACTTCTCTCCATTCAAAATCGGCGACTAAACTCACCAGCTCCGCCACTTTTGGACTCCACATTCCTTTTAACTTTCTCTCTCTCCTCTCAGACACTTGTTCATTGTTGGAGAGAGAAACAATAACCAATCATAACAGTTACGATCCAATCCAATGGCTCTAACACACCGCGCTTCCAATCTCCTGAAACCCATCTCCACCGCAATCTCCTGCACCCCATCTCTCCACCGTCCCTTCTCATCCGACACCACCACCATCACCGTCGAAACCAGCGCCCCCTTCACCGCCCACCAATGCGACCCTCCGTCTCGCTCCGTCGACACCTCCCCCAAAGAACTCCTCTCCTTCTTCCATGACATGGCGCTCATGCGCCGCATGGAGATCGCTGCGGACTCGCTCTACAAATCCAAGCTCATCCGCGGCTTCTGCCACCTCTACGACGGCCAGGAGGCCGTCTCCGCCGGCATGGAGGCGGCGATCACCAAAAAGGACTGCATCATCACTGCCTACCGCGACCACTGCATCTACCTCGGCCGCGGCGGAACCCTACTGGAGACGTTCTCCGAGCTCATGGGTCGTCGGGGCGGGTGCTCCAAAGGAAAAGGCGGGTCGATGCATTTCTACAAGAAGGAAGCTGGGTTCTATGGAGGGCATGGAATTGTTGGGGCTCAGATTCCGTTGGGTATTGGATTGGCATTTGCTCAGAAGTATTCAAAGGAAGAACATGTGACCTTCGCAATGTACGGTGATGGTGCCGCCAATCAGGGGCAGTTGTTTGAGGCTCTTAATATCGCAGCACTTTGGGATTTGCCTGCCATTTTGGTCTGTGAAAACAATCATTGTAAGGATTGGATGAATTAACACAATTTAATTTCATATACATATATGTGTGTGTTTATATATAGGGGTTATTGTTTAGTGCAGTGGTAAAATGCTCTGGTTGTCAATTTTGAAAACATGGGTTCATGAGAGTAGCCACTTTGTGCAAATAATGCCAAAGTTTAGCGTGTATCCAGTCTGCCCACTGAGTAACATATATAATTGTTGTGTGATATGATTGATTTTGAAATGGTGTTGCAGATGGGATGGGGACGGCGGAATGGAGAGCTGCCAAGAGTCCGGCCTACTACAAAAGGGGAGATTATGTTCCTGGTTTGAAGGTGAAATTGGGTTATATATGGTGTTGCTTTGAGTGTTTGGATTATATGGAGTCTTATTGTTTTGTTTCTGCAATTTAAGTGAATTTTGGTTTGTTGTTTAAATTACCACGAAATAATGCTATTATTTTGATTTGTTAGAAATTTTACTGGTCTTAGGAATCAGATATATACTTTAGTTCTTGTATTTTATCATATCCATGATAGATTATGTTGTGAAGGAGCATTATTTTATTTTTGTTATGATAAATTGTTCTTCCAATGATAAAACACATGAACTTTTTATTGGCAATTCAATGAATTTCTTACGTTCATGGGGTTTCATACGTTTTGTAGTTTTAGTGTTATGTCACATACCACTATTAAAAATTGGTAAAAGGAAGTTATTTTGTAATAGTGGATTATAGGGAGCTGGTGTAATGTGTTACTCTGTCAGAAAATCTTAAGATATTTTTATTTTCTCTATAAAGGTTGCATTTGTTTGAGTATCAATTTGTCTTCCTTGTTTCCATCCACTTGTGTTCTGTAGGGTTGACTGTTCAAATTTTGTAAGGTCTAGCCTGTTTTGAGTGTTTTAGCAATTTGAATTGCATTAATTATATTACGATGCACTTTTTGTTTCTTACCTAACACTTCACAACTTTTGTCAAAGCACAAGTGGAAGTGCCTTTTGGCAATTTGCCTTGCATGGTTTTTTAATGTTAACAATATATTTGAGATCGAAGGAACGGTAGTAACTTGTGCCTCGAGAATAAGAATCAATTGGAGGATGATAGTCACAGAACATTACGTCATCATTTGGTTGAGTCCCAATCAGTTGAACTTTGCTAAACAAGACCTTTATAACTATTCGGGGTTTATATGATTAAATTTGTTAAGTAAATTTTAAAGGGAATTCATGTTTCTTAATGGAATCAACTATTTGGGGATTATATGATCATATCCATGAAGGCATGAGGCAAATTTTAAGGGAAATCATGTTTCCTAACATGGTATACAACTTTAACCAAAGCACAAATGCCTTTTTACAATTTACCTCTTCTGGTTTTTTTACATTATTTTTAGAATAAAGGAACGGTAGTAACTTGTTTTCTGAGAACAAGAATCAGTTGGAGGATGATAATTACAGTACATTAGGTCATCATTTGGTTGAGTCCTTATCAATTGAGCTCTGCTTAACAAAGTCTTATAACTACTTGGGATCTATGATCAATTCCATGGAGTAGATTTCAAGGGGAATTCATTGTTTCTTAATGGAATTATACAATCTTTACATGGTAAATTTTTCTTAACTAGTACAAATAGATTTTAATAGATAGTGGGGACATTTCTGGTTCTAGATTATTGTCTGCGATGTGCGATGATGAATATAGTTTATTTTCAACGTTTTCCTTTGCGTGTTGATTTAAAGAGTTGAACCAGTATAATGGAATTTTACACACAGAGAGCTACTGAAAATAGATTGTGTGTGTATGTGGGTTTCTTGTAATAGGTGCTCCACATTTAATTGACCTTTGGGTATTGAGTAGAAAGTAGTCTTGGTTCAACTTCTGTATGAGAAAATACCAATGCCAGGTCACTGAATAATGATAAGAAATTATTGTTGTATTTTTGTCATTTCTATTTCCATGTATTATTGTTTCCTATGCTTCATAATAATCGTATATTTTACATCCTCACACAGGTAGATGGTATGGATATCCTTGCCGTGAAACAAGCGTGCAAATTTGCTAAGGAGCATGCTTTGAAGAATGGACCCATTGTGAGTACATTTATTTGGCATTTGAAGCATGCTGAATTTTTTTTTTAAATTTTGTCTATAGTTCTTGTTTTCAGTGCAACCCATTTAATAAAACCTGCATCTCCTTATTCTTATTTGGGTTCGTTGTCAAATTTAACCGTTATATTCCTGTGAATTATCTTAATAATCTGCTTGTTTGGATTCCAATGTGTCAATACAGCATAATTTTTTGGTTAAAGCAAGCCGATTAACTGGAATTATGTAAAAAAAGTCTGTAAAAGACAGACTGATAATAATTCCATATAGACGTGCTGTTGAACAACAAAATCATTTTACATTTAATTTCTTTAGCTGAGGAAAATTACATTACACGCATAAAGTAACTTAAATTGTTGGAATTATCAAACTCTGTGTGACCACAATTATGCTAGGCTGGAGGCTGTCTCAAAAGATAACTTTAATTGTAGGAATTATCAAACTCCATGTGACCACAATTATGCTAGGCTGGATGCTTTGTCTCAAATTTCTGCAGATGCTTGTTTTCACATGGTATGATAATTGTGGGAGGCCCATCCTATTGAATGGTCTAAATGTTCATCCGATGAGATGATGGATATCTGTGGAAGCAATCTCTAAAGGTGTACAAAAGAGGTGGAAAGGAGAGTTCCAAGGGCGAGCTTTGATTTGGCATATGCTCGATGGTGTGGGGGGCCATTTGGAGTCCTGAATAATTGGGGGTTTTGGTCAAGTTGCATCATTTATGACCTTGGTGGGCATTATGATGCAACTAGCGTGGGTTTTATTTGCTTTCATTTACGTTTGAGTCACGATTTAAGAATTTGAAGAGTACCATAGTCTTCAAACTCCAAGACCTTGGGAATTTTGACAGTACCATAAGTCTATTATGTGCTACCTTACCATCTCCAAACCTAAGTGTACAACCATCACAATCGATTAAAGTAGAAAAAGAAAGATTTATTTCCAGTCATATGCCTACCAATATTTAGCGTCATTAGCTTTTAGTGTTGTGTGGATCACCAAGCAATCTCTATCTTTCTTTCTTATCTGTAGATTGTGTTGATTTCTTCAATTTAGCCTCTTCTTTCTTTATGGGAAAAGTTTTCAACTTCTTTTTTAGTTTCAGTATTTTTATTGCTAGAGAGATTTGTTCACGCATTCTTTCTTCTTTAGCTAATTTATTCTTTTTGTGCACTTAAATTTTATGACCTTTCTTAAAACAACAGTGACATGTAGGAACATGCTTAGAGGAATTTTTCTTTTTAAACTTCACTAGATTTCTTATGAAATTTATCTTTAAAAGATATCTCAATTTTATTTTTCGTAACTAGTTTAGATGTTCCAATATTATTTGCTCTCTTAAGATTTGTTTCTTACTCATCTATCTTAGATTTTGAGACCTCATTAAGCTCCTTGGACAATGTAGCCTCTAGTTCGAAAGTTTTCACTCTCTTGGATAATACGTCTTTCTCTTTCTTAAATTTAGTCATTAGAATTGTTGAACTAGCATTTCTAATTTTTATTTTTCAGATTTTATTGTTCAATATCATTTAATTTATTCAACAATTTAAAGTTTTCCATTTTAAGACAGAAAAGCATTATACAGCTCCCAAAAAACTAGTCTAAAAATATCATTTTCATAATAATCAAAAGTCGAAACTAGAATCATTGTGACATGATTTAGAATCAACTAACTCCTTGCCAGAATCACAAACACTATGTTTATCCTTGAGTAAATTTAATTCACTATCATATTCAATATCAGAGGAAGTATCAAATAAGCTAGAACTATTCTTTCACTTCAAATTATCAAAGAAAGCATTATCATCAAAACAAACAAAATCAATTGATTCCACTTTTTTAATACCCGTAATTCTTCCTATAAATCAACTCTCTATGTTGAGTAACCTGCTTTGATGTAAATTGTAGGATCGGACTGTTATCCAGTAGAACGTCCAATAAACTAGACCTACAGGTGGGGTGAATAGGTCTTATGGATATTATTTTTGCAACAAACATTTTGAATTATTGCAATTATGATTTGAATTTATGTTAATTAGTTTGGTTCATATCTCAATTCCATTCACATAAAAACATAAAATATAAAAGAGCAGTGATAGAGAAACCGAAGATTTCTACCGAAAAGACACCGAACTTGACGTGGCTATAGCCACGTCAGACAATTTCATTACGCGTAAGACGCTAACTCCTTTTTCTCTCTCTTCCTCTTCATTTCTCTCTCCCGTTCTTCATCAATTCTTCTTATCTATCCTCTTTCCCGAAATCTAGTGGTCAAATTTCTCCAGATTAATTCTAGTTTGAGACTGGTCCAAACGTTTGGATGGAACGTATACATATATCAAAGTTTTTGTTTGATTTTCAAAAATACAAAATTTAAAGGACAGAAACAATAGTTATAGTTTTTTGATTTTGTACCTTCTGTATCAGCAAAACATTGAAATTTTAATTTTTTTTTTTATCTTCAATTTTGCAAAATCAAAAGGAGAGACACAAAACTAGAATCAATTGAGATAAGATTGAATAGAGAAGAAAAACCGAGAATTAGAAGGAGCGAGGAGAGAGAAACGAAGGGGTATCTCACGCGTTTATACTTTTAAGAAAATAATCTGACGTGGCCAAGCCACGTTAAATTCGACCTCTCATTTGGTTGTTTGGTTCGGTTCTCATATCATTTTCCAATATAAAATAAATAGTGAGTAGAGAGGCACAAGATTTTTACGTGGAAAACTCTAACAGGGGAAACCCACGAGACCTTGTCCAGTCATGAGCAGTCCACTATGAGAGAAAGAGGCTTACAACTAAGTTTCCAATTCACCCTAGAATCACCTAGTTCATCCCAACTCAGACTTAATGCAAGATTACCCCGATTCATCTGCTGCTGATCCATCGATAGATTTGCTTTGCACAAAATCTGCTTCTTGATGATTTGTTCAATCCTTCTTTTCTTGATCAGTTGAATTGCTCTTGTAGTGTTGATGATTTCCTTCTTGTAGATTCTCAATCACATGTGATGGTCAAACTATGTAAAACCCTAGATTGAGAAACTAGGGTTTTCTCTATAAAATTAGGATTCTCTCTAATACATGTAGAGATTCAATTGGTGAGCCTAGACTGGCTATATGGTATATGGTAAGCAGAATTATTTTAGAAATCTAATTTAAAGAGAGTTTTCAAAATAAGTTTCTGCAGGGTTTGATCGATCTAGTGGTCGATCGACACCTACTGGGGGTCCTTGATTAATCAAGCTTTCAATTGAGGCTTACTAGAATATCAAAACATTTTGTTTTTTTGAAAAACTTTTGATCAGTCCATCTATCAACAACCATCATCTTTCAACACTCAGTTTTTCAATAAATATTAATTTCAAAAAACAATTTGAGAAAACTTCAATTCAAAAGAACATTTTTGAAAAATAAAAAATAACAAATTTATAAAAAATATTTTGAGCCAAACAAAAAACAAACCTAGATCAACTCAGATATCTATGGTCTCATTCACCTGTGCCTTAGAAAAGTGATCAAGTCCTGAGGTCTTTTTCCCCATCAACCTCCATGAACCGTGGTTGTAGACGAATGACTCATGATACTTCGGCACACTACAACCGATGTTTTAGTAGGAATTTGCTAACGTTACTCATAATCCTAACACATATTAAAACAATAGTTATATATATGTGAGATATAGACTGACTTAGTTATTAGTTACAGGAATTGTATACTATTGTTTCCTTGAGTCATGATTTTAAAAGTTTGCATTCTGTGTCAAATCACAAAGTTAAAGGTGGAGGAGTTACTTCTTGTAAAACCTTTTGACAAAACATGCATGGGGAATTATATCATAGCAAGATTCGATATCTCTTCTGAGGTAGGAAAGCATAGCTATTTCTAAGTAAGGAAAAAGTTATAATGAGGGTGCGCTCACGATGTGAGTGCCCTCATGATATATATATATTTTTATAAGTTTTTTTTTTTAAAAATAATTGCAATGAGTGCCCTCATGATAGACTTGCCTTTTTAGGAATTTGTATTTTTTGTTTGTGAAGCTTTGGTAGGGATGAAGACCGGACATGTGTACACTGCCATTGTACATGGACTCTTCTAGATCCCCAAGACACCTGTGTCGAACAGATGCACTTAGGTTTTGGTGTAATAAGACCTTTTTGACATGTTTAGTGTACATGCATCTAGCAAGTATCCTATAATTTTCAAATTTATGATATGATTGTGCATAATTCTTTTATAATGTTCTTTTTGTTATATTATTGCTCCAGATGCTCTATGGTACATATAGATCCCATTTTAGCTAATATTTATTAAGTGTGAATATTTAGTCATGTCCTCTTGTCTTTAGTTTGGGATTTGATAAATCCAATACTTGGACATGAAACGTAGGAACCCAAAAGTAGTTTGCACATTTGGTTTACTTAGTTTTCTATTAAATGTCATAAATTTCATTAAAAATAAAATATGGGAGATTTGGCTCATAATGGATGCGTACAAGTACAAGCCAAGTAATATAGATTTTGGGATCTGAAATTTATTACATTTGATTGAATAATAGGGGCCCATTTGGCATTGCTGTTAGAATGGAGAAAAACGCTTTTATCTATAAAGCCGACATAAAATTGTTGTTAGTAAAAAGCATGTTAGGTATACTGATTTTTTGAGATAAAAAGAATATATATAGATGTTTATAGAGACCTAAAAAGGCTTGGAAAACTTGGCAAATTTGTGCAAAAAACAGTGCACTTTTCTGTATATAGATGTTTATAGAGACCTGATAAACAGTGCACTTTTCTGTGTGCAGAAGTTCAACCGGTTGAATTGCACACTGAACCGGTTGTACTTTTACAGATTGTAAAAATAAACCTGTTTTAGCTATAAGAAACTCAATGCACTCTTGTTCCAACTCAATCTATATATGTGCAATGTGTTCTCACTCACATACCTTGTCTAATTGTTGTTTTCATTGATCCGAAGTACGTATGCACATGTAGTTCCGCTTCCGACATCGAGACTCAAAAGTAAATAGAAAATTACAACTTGATCGGACACGATTTGACACCAAAATATGCCAATTACAAAAGTTATACTTCACATATATTACTAATTTTACAATAATGTCCTTTAATTGAATGTTTCTATGGTGCTATTTGATAAAACTGAAAATTTTAAGAGCTGAATTTTAAGTGCTAAAGTTTTTAAGTGGTAATTAAGAAATAAATATTTTTGATATCTTTTTGAATTTTCAGTATTTAGCGACAATTGATGTCCATGTCACTTAAAATTTTATCTCATTTTAAGTGGCGCTTATTGTTTTTGGTAATATTCAAATTGCATTATCAAGTGCACTTAATTAGATAAGTACTTAATCCGTTTAGAAGTAAGTGCTGCAGCACCTATTATATTTGATAATAACATGACTTTATAAAAAAGGGGATTGAATTGTCTTTATAAAAAAGATAAAGGGAAAAAATTGCCTAATGAAATACAGTTACCTAAAATTTAAAATATCTACTCAGAACGCAGTTTTAAAAGTAAGAAATTTTAGCTTCATTCAAAAGTTCTATTGAACTAAAATTGGTAACCATGAAAAGCGCTTTTAATGGTTACCAAAAACACATATACAATTTTTTTAAAAATAAAAGTTCTTTTAATGGTTGAAAAGCAATCCCAAACAGGCTCATATTCTTCTTGTTATAGTCAAATCTCAGAATACATGTTTTGCTCTTTCGTTTTTGTGTATTATGGACACGTTCCCCTTTTGAACGTTTTTCTAATATATTTTTACTTATCAAAAAAAAAAAAATCTCAGAATACATGTCCATGAGTTATATCTCTTGAAAAGTGTGGTTACTTTTTGTCTTATACTTTGTATACATGTGCTCTATAGATGGATATATTAAAAATTAAAAAGAGAGCGGTATTTGGGACATGTAAATTTTGTGCAATAGTATAGAATATGATTTGTGAAGCTACTTTTAGATATGGAATATAATCCTACTGGACAATATATTGCAAATAGGGGAAACCAAGTTGTGGAAGTTGTGTAATTCCTGGTTGCTCTTACACTGATAGTAAACCAATTGCATATACTTCAGTTTATGCATTTATCTAACCAAGAGTTGCTTGGATTGATATCTATTTCATTTTTTGATACATCATTTTATATAGAAATAACATTTTTCTGTCTTTCTATGTTCGTGTTCAGATTCTTGAAATGGACACTTACAGGTATCACGGCCACTCTATGTCTGATCCTGGGAGCACCTACCGTACGCGTGATGAGATTTCTGGTGTGAGACAGGTTGATATTTTCTCAACAGCAATTTCTCTCTAAAAGGAAATGCTTGTTAATCTGTGTCTTATATATCTAATATGATATGTTTTGGGGATTTATTGTAATACTGCCAGGTGCGTGATCCAATTGAAAGAGTAAGAAAGCTGATATTATCCCATGAGCTAGCCACTGAAAAGGAGCTAAAGGTATCGAATGACTTGAATCCTCAAAGTTTACATCATAAGAAATTTTATGCTATGGAATTTGGTTGGATTTAGAACATTTAATTTCTTAACTTGATAAAGTGTTGTGAGAAAGAACAACTATAGGATTATTTATTTATTTTGTGCAGGATACTGAAAAGGCAGTGAGAAAAGAGGTAGACGAAGCCATTGCTCAAGCCAAGGTGAGGAGGATATCATATTTTTATTTTTAATTGTTTACTATGTGCAACACTTCTGAAAGGTTGCCTTTCTTGAATTATTGGTTATGGATCTTTTCTGTTTTTCTGCAATTCCAGGAAAGTCAAATGCCAGATCCTTCTGATCTATTCACCAATGTCTATGTGAAAGGCTTCGGAGTAGAGGTAGATTTTCTTATTTCTTTGAATCTCTGTGAGTTGGTTATATACCCTGAACAATGAAGACATACATTATCTAACAAAAGTATAAAGAAAGGTTATTGATTCCTATTATTATTACAGTTTTTGATACACTACATATATATGAAATATGATTTTTAACATGTGTAAAACATTCTGTACCTCTAGTTGGTATTGGTTCTTATGTTTTGTGTGTCTTGTTTGGTTGTACATATAATGATACTTCTAGGAGGCTTGTGATATTATGACAAAATGCAGAAAACTGGGTAGAAGAAAATAAAATTTGTCAGATTCTTTAAGTTAGGGATTACAAGGATGAGATTCGATGAAAGGTGGATATATTTATTTTACATCCCATTCAATTAAAAATAAAAGGTGAAACTTGAGATAAGGAGTATATGTGGGTTTTTTTTCTTATCAATATCATCTTCTTTCCTTTTTTTTCATTTTTTTTTTTGGGGAGGGGGGGAACATGTCAGCTTCAAAGGCCTGACCTTTGACAAAATGGTAAAAGAAGAAATGCAAGAAGGAAATATAAATACAGCCCTAGCTTGTTGATACGAGGAAATGGTGAATATGATAATTAGACTTTGTTAAAACTTGTAATTCTCTTGTGATGAATAACCATGTGACCCGTTTTGGTATTGGCACATGGCGACTCTGGAACTGCCATATGGGAACTATAAAGTGCAAAAATCCATGCTGATCCTCTTATGGCCTCTTTGGCTTGGGAGTTGGCTTGTGTGGTTAGGTCTAGGGTTTGAGGATTGGTAGAGAGAGAGAAGAGAGTGCAAAAATCCATCCTCCAATCCCCCTTTTTGGCCCCACTTGGGGAAGGAAATGCAAAGTAATGTACATACTTTGGAGAGTCTTGGAGGTGAATCGTAAATCTGGCACCTTGATGTTTGATGCCTCCACCAGGTCAGGAGCATGGCCTGGTGGGCCATACGGAGCTCGGTGCCTGTCAGCACAATGACTCCAAATTGTGGTGCCAACCATGATAGTGTTGGTTTAAGTGGTTAGAAGTGTGACTAGTCAAGGGGGGTTCCCATCCCCTATCTATGGCAGGACAAGGCTGCAAAATTGGCTGTGACATTTTTAAGCTGGATGTTGAGATTAACTCCTCTCTCTCTCTGGTCTGCCCTGTTGTCATCTGAACCTAAACTCTCTGTGTACTTCACTACCCATGTACCACCTCTTAGGCTAAAGAACTCTAGACTTTGTTGTTGACCTTTTAAATATAGAGGAAACAGGGAAAAAATAAATAAATTTACCCCTCAGATGAAAAACCCATCGGATGGCCTAAAAAATATCTAAATGAATAACAAAAACAACCACCTCTTTTGGTCAAAGAACATCCGACTCCCAATTAGCTTATCTATATGCAAGACAAGAATAACTGACACTTGTATGGCAATTAGGCTAATAATAGACAAGTTACCACTTCTCAGAAATTGAAGTTTATAATGGTGATTATTATTTTCTTTTCTAAATTCTAACTTTTTCAAACCAATCAAAAGCAAAGTTAATATTTGAACACTAGTTACCACTTCTCAGTTTATGCTAGCTATCGATTGGAGGGTACACTAATTACAGTCAAAACAATGGTTCCACTTCCACTGTGGTACAGAGCATGTAGTGTCATAAACAAACAAATAAATGAATAAAATTGTTTTACACGTCGCCCTTATTTATATTTGCTAGTTTGCATAAATTGATGGTTTGATTTTCTGTTGCAGGCATGTGGAGCAGATAGGAAAGAAGTGAAAGCTGTGCTTCCTTGAGGTGAACAATAGAAGCTGTTCCTCTTCTTGACTAACAGGAATAAGAAGATAGAATTGCGAGCAGCAGAATCTGTTCCCTGTTTAGTCTCGGCTTGTTTTCGTTTTGGTATAGGAAGCTCTTTCGATTGGCGTTATTCAGAGTAATTTTTACATTTTGAAGATATAGTTATTTTGTGGAACATAACAATTGTACATGAAATTCGATTTGCTTCTCCCCAGCGCTGCTGTGAGACACTGAATATTTTGATACATAAAATAATTTTGGGCTTGAATCCATCATTGTTTGTCCACAGCTACAAATTTTCTGGATCATTTCGTTTTTTGTTTTGCCCTGATTATCTCGGTTTTCTGCTGGCATTGCAAGCCATGTCAAATTTAGTTTCTTTGGCCCTCTGATTTTTGTACTTGGAATTGCTATTGAGTAGATCAGAGCAGCACACTGTTATGGTAGTTCTATTGATAGATTGGGGTTGATTTCATTGGACAGGACGTATTAAATAACTTACCGAAAATTGTTAGATAAGTTATTTTTATTATTTTTTAATATATTTTTATTATTTTTACGACAATCAAACACCAAAAAATAAAATTATTTTACATCTAAATAATTGGAGCCTCGAGGAAAATAATACTCACATTCTACTCTCTTTAATATCGTACGTATGCACCACCAGCAGTCCATCATACCGAAGTAGCCAAAGCCAAATGGTTTTAGTCAGCTATTATTTCTACTTCCACTCTTGTATAGAAAACAAAAATGAAAATGAAAATAAATTTTAAATTTATTTTTATTTTTATTATGTGTTTGGGTAGTTTGCGAACTTGGACAATTATTTTGGACAATAATTTTGAGACAGTCAAAAATAGAAAGGTGGCAATTTTTATAAGAGGAAGGGAGTATGTATAAAATTGGCAATCAAGTCTTACGACGTCATCATTTAAAGGCAAGCTCATCTTGTACATAAAGCACTTCATGGTCTAAAATTTGTTAGAGCACTAGCGTCTGGATATAAATATACTTATCTCGCATAATATATTTTTATTAAATACCATTTTTGTTAAAAACTACTACTACATATCCCACTTTTGAGGGTTAATTATAGAATTTCACAATAGAAAAATAAATGGAGTGTTAACATCACCTCTCATTTGAGGAAGGAAAATTGCTTATAATAATTAAAATACATGTATATATATAATTGAAACCAAAATTAATTTAAGGCACACTTATATATATATATATATCACATGTTAGAGAGAAGTAGTTATAAGAATTATGTATCCACATTGTGGGGGAGGAGATGGAGTAGCTTAAGAGCATAAGAAGATGGAAAAACAAGGAAAGATAAAAGGCCTTCAATGTATATTTGATTTAGACACAATGATAAATAGCATATATATATATATAAATAGTGATAAAAAGTGTAAAATGTAAACCATTACGTGGATGTTGATGATTTTTCAAAATTTAATACGATTTGAACTAAATTATATTGTATCGATTTAATGCTCTCCCACGCAATTTATGTGTCAGATTTGAAATTCTATCGATTTAATGCTATATTTATATGCCATTCAGAGTTTCAGACCTTTATTTGAAATGATTCTTCTTTTAAAAAGGTTGCATATCCAACCCTATTAAAATTTTGATTTAAATCATGACTCAAATCCAACAAATAGACTTCAAATCAAATCATATATTTCTTTTTGTAAAAAATAAAAATAAAAATAAAATCAAGTTTTTGATTAAAAGCAGATTTATTTCTTGCCCTAAATCATATAAAGCGGAAGATAAAGTGAATTCGAGAATAGAAATATAAAAGCGGCAAAATTAAATCATAAAAATATGCCCATGGGAACAGCACCCGTTAAAAAAACATGTGACACCAATTAATAAAGGATGATTTGATTTAATTCATGCCCAAACTTCCCTTACCTTTAAGCAATTAAAAGTGACTCATATTTGAAAACTGGATTGATATGAGTGTGACAATCACTTGCCATCTCGAAAACAATGACAGCCCAATTGAAAATTACTTTGTTGAAAGGCAAACCCTCTTTAATCAGATACAAATGATTTGGACCTTAAATTAGTATGGTCCCACTTAAATGAAATTATAGCATCAAGATTAACTCTATTAGTTGAACTGGCCCATCCATTGCTCTTTACTAAATTGACTTTGACCACCACCTCCTTCCATCTATTATGGTCTGGGCCAATGAGTGGGCCGGGGCAATAAAAGTGGCCCATTTTGTCCCAAATAATCCTATGTATCAATGAGGATAAATTTCCAAGTAATTGCGAAGTGCATGTAGGATAAGGAGATTATATGTGCCTTATGGTAAATTATGGAGTGCTTTAAAAGATCGACTATGGTACCATAGTCGACTTAAAAAAAAAAAAAAAAGGGATAAGGAGATTATATGTGCGTGATGGCAAATTGTGGATGTTTTAAAAGACTGACAGTAGTTTGGGAAGTCCAAATGGGTAGTATTGGTATTAAAGAATTTTTTTGGTCACGTGACTCGCACATAACACTTTTTGGGGGTAAGAAACCCTTGTTTGCTCATTTTTCATACTAAAATGGTAAGATTTGAACATGAAGAGTTTTATGTGCACAGTTTACAAATTACATACTTATAAGGAGACTATATGTACCTGACGGTGAATTATAGGGTGCTCTAAAAGGTCAGCATCACCATAGTCGATCAAAAAAAAAAAAAAAAAAAATTGATAAGGAGACTATATATACTTGATGGCGAATTGTGGATGCTTTAAAAGAGCGACGCGAGTTTGGAAAGTCTAAAACGTCAGTGTTGGTATTAAAGAGTTTTATTGGCCACATATCTCGTACATAGCACTTTTTGGGGGTTAGAAAACCTTATTCGCTCATTTTTTATACTACTGTTTGTATTCATAGCACTTTTTGGGGGTTAGAAACCCTTATTCATTCATTTTTTTATACTATGGTTTGAATATAAAGGGTGCTTTTGCACATTTTACAAATTAAAGGATTTTTTTTTTTTTTTTCACTTCACCCTATTATATATATATATATATATATATATATATATATATATACTTTGCATTAGGAGACCTTTACTTTATTTTCTCTCTATAGGGATTTGGTTGCATTTATCGTGTACTTATAGAATAAGAGACTCTTAAAAAATTTATTATTTATTGTCGTGAGTGATAGAACGTCAACTCTCCTAATAAGTGTGTTCTTTAGAGCTCCCACCCCTCTCCTCCTAATTCGGTAAGATATGAAAAAATTAGCAATTTTTTTCACAATATGATTCTCATACTGTCCTCTCTCGAAGGTCAAATCTTTCTCAAAATGTACACCTAATTAACGTCATAAAACAGAGACTTCATGAATAGAATAACAAGGCAGTTCAATATCGCTTTAATTTAACAGGGCTATATGAATGACCAATTAGTTCAACGAATTTTAATTGGCAGGGTCCACACGTGTCCCAAGTTGGTTCCATTATTGATTTTAGAGATCTACCTTCTAACATGTGTAAACCTCTCTCTCTCTCTCTCCTCCCTCTCTCTCTATACTGTACTGCTTTTCAATGTGGGCCTTGCTTTTCCCATCCATTCTCATGGCTGATCTGATCGATATCTTGTTGGGGACTCTCTGAAGTCTGCGAATGAGAAATCTTTAGGTAAGAAATAAATTAAACAAAATCCCAATTTTTTATTCTATTCTTTTGCTTTCCTACGAGGCCATTATGTTTTGTTGGATCTCCATAATTGAGTCAACTTTAATCTTTAATTTCCCATTAAATATTGCTCAAATGTATCTATTTTATTGTGTTTTCATGTATATCACACTCACAAACACAAACCCTTTTCATCTTTTACACTTTCCACAAAAGGGTAATTGTAGTTGAAAAGTTTGAAACATTTTTTTGGAGTTCTACAAGAATTATATGCAACTTTGGTGTTCATCTCTTTGTAGATGTACTCTTCTTTTTGTGTTGATGATTGGGGAATAATGATCTTTGGAGTTTCTTGAAGTACCAGAAAGTGACATTTTACAGTTGTGTAGATGATTGATGAAAAAGGGGAAAAAAAATGATAGAAAACACAGCACATGCCATGTCTTCACTGGTTGCATTCTTTTATTCCTCTTTTTGTCTTCATTCTGATCTGCTTCTTATTGGTCTCCTAGTGTGGTTGAGTGGATTGATGCAATGCACATGCTTGTTACAGGCCATGGTGTGATGATCACTGTGTGTATTTTTATGGTAGCTCTGTGATAATTCAACCTTCATGCTGTGAGAGTTAATGGGTGAATCATTAGTAGAACCACTGAATGTTAAAGATAAGGTACACCTGTTTGTCCTTTGATCAGTTAAATGTTATCCATATGTTTAATTTGTTTCATCTAATTGTGTTTTGAAATTGTCTCCCTTTTTTGTTTTTTATTTATTTTTAGTTCCATCTCATAATTGCAAAGTTCCTATACTGTTTGTTGTTATTTCATTCTGTTTCTTGCTTGAAAATTTGCCTGGAAATTGGATTTTGTGTTATATAAACAGATGGGTGAGTCTGTTGGCTCTGTATCTACTATGGAAGTATCGGTTTCGTTTGGTAGATTTGAGAATGAATCGCTTTCTTGGGAGAAATGGTCCACTTTCTCTCCAAACAAGTACTTGGAGGAAGTTGAGAAGTGTTCAACACCTGGATCGGTAGCTAAGAAGGCGGCTTACTTTGAAGCTCATTACAAGAAGATTGCTGCTCAGAAGGCTTTACTGGAGCTGGAGAAGAAGATGGAGACTGATCCTTTGAGGTCAGATGATTCAAATTGTGAAGATCGTAGTGAAATCACCTGTGGGAATGCAACAGAATTCGGTATATCTAATGGTCAGAGCTTTCCTACAGGAGTTGAGCATGTCACCGATTTGATTAGTGTTGAGAATAGCATTCATGTTGACGAGTCAAATGAGGATGCTGCAATCACCATAGAATGTCAAAGCACATCGGTCGAAGGAACTAAGGAAGAAATGGATAGCATACCAGTCTTACCGGATAGCCCCAAATCGAACAGACCAGAAGAAACTTTATGGGTTCAAGAAGACACTCCTCGAAAGAGATCTCAGGATACAGTGGAATTTCCAAAAATGGATAAGGAGAAAGGAAACAATCTGCAAAATAGAGAGGAGAATGTGACATTGGGCGCATCTGAAAAATCAGAAGAAACTGTTTTAATTCAAGAAGACACTTATCAAAATAGATCTCAGGACATGATGGAATTGCCAAAAATGGATAAGGAGAAAGGAGACTGTCTGCAAAATAGAGAGGAGAATGGTGAATTGGGTGCATCCGAAAAATCAGAAGAAACTGTCTTGGTTCAAGAAGACACTCATTTAAAGGGATCTCAGGACATGGTGGAATTGCGAACAAAATCGGATAAGAAGAAAGGAAACAGTCTGCAGAGTAAAGAGGAGAATGCGAAAGTGGGTGCATTCAAAAAATCTCAAAAGGTGAATCTTTTGAACTTGACAACTAGTTGGTGTTTATAGAAGATATGACATATATAGATCATCTGATTATATTTCTTAAATTTCATGAACTTTTAATTATTTGGATTATTCCAGTGCCTTACATTATTATTTTGTTTTTCTTTTTGTGTGTCTATAGATAACTCCGACCAAAAAAGAGAAGAATTTGGCAGGGTCAATAAAGAAAGCTGCATCACCTTTACCCAAATCACCGAAATTTTCCACTCCTAAATTAAAAAAGCCAACATCAACTTCCACTGTCATGTCTTCTACTCAATCTTCAACGAAGAAGTCAAGCAATTCATCATTAACAAAGAGCAAGAATCCTTCTGCAGGAGAAAGCAGGAGAATAGCTCCTAAATCCTTGCACATGTCTCTTTGTTTGGGTCCTGCAAATTCTGATTCTACTTCTCTTACCACAACTAGAAAGTCTCCTATCATGGAAAAAATGGGGGATAAGGACATTGTTAAGCGAGTATTTAAGTCATTTCAGAACAATTTCAATTCGACTGATGGAAGATCTTCTGGACCAGAGCAGGTTTGTCTACCTTTTGAACCATGCTTATCTACTTCTCTATTCGCTTTTAACCAGGGGAGCTAGTCATGAACCTTCTTCATCTTTTCAAGTTTCTTGTCAACCTCTTTTTGCAGGTGTCAACCAAGGGTGCAGAGCAAAAGGTGTCCACTTCAGGGACTCCTAGGAAAGAGAATGACGGGTAATTTGGAATCTCATTAAGTCTATTGCGAAACATTCTACACTATCAATTGTTTAAAAATTTCAAAACAAGTTAAATGAAACCTTGAAAGTTGAAATGTATTCTTACATTGAGTGGACTTTAGAGACTAGATGCATGGGTAATCTAATTTAGCACTGTAAATTTTCTGAAGAAAATATTGGAGCTAGAAGTTAACTTCCTTTGTTTATGCCAATTACTAATTTTCATTGAGAATCAACCTATCATATATACAGTTAGTCAACACCAATACATTGGTGGTGATTGCATTTTTTGAGCTCTCTGATCTAATATATAACCTATCCTTGCGTATAAAATTTTTCTAATCATTGTTTTCATGTGCTCTTTGTGCCAGTTTGCTTTCCTTCTCCCCACATTAATATTTAAAAGGCTTGTTGGTTGGATGAGCAATATATGTTTAACATTAGAAGCTTTCTATGTATAAGAGATCTTGAATTTACTATTTAGAAATTTTTTATGTGAAAAAGGACTAGCTTAGTGCACGAGACTCCTGCCATTGTGAGTTTGGGGAGGGTTAGATGCACGCAGCCTTAAATTTGACCATCAATCAATCAAGTCAGTTCTTACCAGAAAGGATAGTCCTGATGAATACTAGAGCCAGTGTACTTTTTGAGGTCCAAGATATGAAAATGGCAAGATTATCTCACCCCGTGGTCGACATTCCATTCCCCTTAGTCGTAGGTGCTCACTCTATTTTGATTTGAATGGGCCTGGTCTCCCGAGGTACATATGGCCGGCCCTTCGGGTGTCTCAGCGATACAAACAAAAAAAAGATGAATTCCAATCACATCCCTCGCATCCGGAGAAGTGTTTCCTGTTTCGAATCCATGACCTCTGGGTCATGGTGGAGCAACCTTACCGTTGCACCAAGGCCCCTACTCAATTTTTTTTTATATAATTTCCAATATTATCTTATGTTTTTTTTCTTCATTTAAAGAATTTGAGAATATATATAATCTACTTTCTTTGGAAGAGTGAAATTGCTCTCAAATTAGGAATTATGAATTGTGAATCATGTGTCTCAGTATTCAAGAATGGTATTTTTGTTTGTATGCATTTTACAATCTCTCCACAGACAAATATATTGGTGTTTATATATGCATATGCTAATGTCTAATACTTGGTTTGACTTATTGGAGCTTTAAACATGAAACTAATTATTAAACTGAATTGCAGAATGAGGAAGGCAGCAGAAAAGATAAATGCTGAAAGAGATCAATCGGGACAAAGATGGCACTCTGTGTCATTAGGGTAGGCTGCATGAGTTCAGTTTATTACCAAAGACCTAGAATTTAGGTTTTTGTTGGAAACTAACTTATTCAAACACGAACTATTCTGAAATCCATTAAAGAGCTCTTTATGACCATCTTTTTTCCTATTTGGCCTCTTGCTTTCTATAATATGTTCATTTTTTTTTTTTTTTTGGATTGACAGGTCACCTAAACGAGCTGGTGTCAATCAAAGAAATGCAAAGGCTGTTCCATCTTCTTTTAGCTTGAGAAGTGATGAAAGAGATGAAAAACGCAAAGAGGTATCCATTTTCATCCCTCCTTATGGTGATTCTTAACTTGTTACAGTTGCAAGTCTGTCCTAACTTGCTGCAGATAAATTATGTCCTTTATTATCCATGTGTTATTCAAGTATTTATTTTCTTTAATTATTTGTTACAGTTTTCTAAAAAACTCGAGGAAAAGTCAAATTTGAAAGAGGCAGAAAGGACACGACTTAATTCAAAATCTAAGGTACACTTTCCAATTCTGGTAGAATTTTCTGCTTCCTGGTCCAGCCTATTTCATTATCCATCATGTATTGAATTTATAGCATATCTCAACACCTCGTACTTGATTCAGGGGGTAAAAGAAGCTGAGGGTAAAGTGCTGAGACAAAGCCTCAATTTCAAAGCCACACCATTGCGAGGTGTTTATCAGGGGCAAAGGACATCAAAGGTTGCTTTAGTTAAGGTACGCCTTAATCTTTAAATACTTTTTGACATGATACTCGGGATTCTTTTGATAAAATTTAAAGAAGGTTGATATAAATTAGTTCTGTCCGAGTGACTTATCCAAAAAAATGAATAAATAAATAGTTTTGTCCAAGTGATCACCGGATATGGAAAGTTTCATAATGAACCATCATAGACATGTTTCCTTTACCATAAGAAGTCATCAGGAAAAAAAGAAACCCGTGGAGTTTTTGACAATATCCACTTACTTTTTTATGCCTTTGCAAAATTATAGTAATGGTAACAAACTTGTGTAGGATTTTGTTAATTTTCCTCATATAATAAACCCATGGAGTTTTATGACCATCTTCCTCTCTTAGAAATCCATGAAAATTCACAGTGCCAGCATTGGGGTGTGTTGGGAAACTGTTTGGTCCATTGTGTATTATATATTATTATCGTACAAATCAATTTTTATGAACAGTCACAATGAAAACTTACAAACATCACTACAAGTAATGATAAAAGATAATTACATCTTTGTTCCATCAAACCATCAAAATGATTTCCAGTTTTTAGTGATGGTTTTCCTTCCGTTTGAAATACCATTCGAATTATTTATCTGCACCTTAATTGGCTATAATATAGTAGGACACAAATGGCACAATTGAGTTTCTTTGGGACATTTCAATGTGCTACTGTATTTATGTGAACGGTGTGAAATAACTTATACTCCAAAGCCTCATTTTTACTTTGATTGAGCCTTGGGCATTTAAATCCGTGGTCTAGAGCGTGTCCGGTTATTACGTCACTCAGATTTAGAGTAGGAACAGAAATGCCCAAGACCTTGCAAAAGCAACGGACGCATTTGCGTATTGATCAGCCTCTGCCCTTCGTATAACAACTTTTTGTTATTTCATTAAAAAAAAAAAAGAAAAAGAAAAGAATATATATATATATATATATATATATATATATATTTTCTTGTTTCATTTGTATATTACATATTGTTCCCTACGAACTTCAATTTATTATCAATATATGACAAGTATTGTATGATGCAGGAGGGTGCCAAGAGCGAGATTCATTTCCGACCGGAGTACCATCGATGAAAGATTCTTGCATCACCCAGGTTGAATGAAATCATGAACTTAAAGACAGAAAATTGCAGTGGGGGCAGAAGTAACAATATTTGGAGGAGAAATACATCAGTGGACAAGGATCACATTAAAAGAAATAGTGTTTTTTTTCAGCAAGACCCATACCGTAGTATATTATTGATGAGCCCACAGGCTCTTATCTCCGAATAGCTAGAATAGATATAACCCGTGTGGTCCACCTTGTCGTTTTGGTAGGTTGTATTTGTAATGAGCATAACATGAAAAGAGGTGGTGGTGCTTTTTGCTATCTTGTGTTGATAGATATAGAAGAGGAAGTGTCACGATGGTAATGTATGTGCATTATATATTTACAATTCTCGAACTATGTGGAGAGCATGAAATTTATGTAAGTTACACTTTACTATCTTATTTTAGCTTAAAGATATTGTGAGTCTGAACAGAGCAGTGTTTGGTGATTTGGTCCTAATTTTCTCTACACAATTCTTTGGAAATGTAGATGTTTTGAGTAATTGGTTCACTAAAACTGGATTAGATGGAGGATTATCTGGGGAAGTTATCCAGCAACTAAATACCAAATGAGTCGTGTCTGAAAGTCAGACGTGTTTGACTCATCCTTCATTCACATAAATGCCGGCGACTTTTAAATGTTAAATTTTTATAAGGTTCCTCATGAAAACAAGCATCGAATTTATGATATTGTATAGGATAAAATGCGAGAGAAATGTCCTTCTGTCATGGTTTCCCATGGATCAAACATGATTTACCAAAAAAAGTTTGGGAGACTTTGAAAATGATTTACCAAAAAAGTTTTTATAAGTCATTTATCAAAGACTACCTTGAGTTATCTAACCATTCATATTTTTATTAAACCCCTATGTTTCTATAACAATTAATCTTTTTCAGTCCTCTCAATTTAAAAAACTAAAGTCTTCTCTTTCTATATGTATACATAGAGTAAGAGGAGAGAGAAAGTGGAATACAAATTTGAATTGGTCAATAAACAGATTTAGGTTGAGAGCATGTTCAGAGAGAGAGAGAGAGAGAGAGAGTAACAAAAAAGGGAGGGAGGGATGCTTTAGTGTAGAGAGATAGAGTACCGAGGAAAGAGAGGGTTCGGGGGTACTCCCTCTGTCCCATTTTAAATGTCGATTTGTAAGTCACATTTTTCGAAACCGACATTTAAAATGGGACGAAAGTAGTATTATTTTCGGCAAGAAAAAGAAAGTTAATTGTGAATAGTATTCTCTATTGGTGAAGAAAGTTAAGTTTACAAAAGCTAAGGAGCACAGTGGAAATTAAATGAGAAATAAACGAAAGGACATAAATTTAAAGTACAGAAAATTGAAGGTACATGAAAAATAAAGTAAAGAATAAAAATTGGTAAAGTTGTGTGTCATGTGTGGTGCAGGACATGAAATCCATTTCATATTTGACAAAATGTAGTACTAGTAGTTATTTCTGTCCTAACCGCTTCTGACATGACCGTCCATGTCACAACTTCTCACCCATTTTCCAACTGCCACAACCTTTTTTCCCACTGCTTGCCAGTCTCATTAAATAAACCTGTCTAATTATTGCCACCGTTAGATAGATATACTGTAGTATAAAGGATTCGATGCACAACTAGTTGAGTTAAAAACTTAAATTATTAAGTGGGAGTAACATTTAATTCATACTTTTTTTAGTCCCGAGACAAGTTTTTCTTGGACTCCTTCTTATTAGGTTTGACATTGATACTAATTATAACGGGTCGAGTGATTCACAATACTAACAAAAAAACTTAGACTGTTAAGGACGACTAACACTCAACTTATATATATTTATTTATTTTTTTATCCAAATCCGACGTGAAACAAATCCTTCCAGCCTTAAACAGTTAGACTACCTTAAGCTCGTGCTCACATAACATAGCCTTAGCTCAACTATTGAAGACTTCTTCTTCGATCATCAGACTCATCAGTGTATATATCCTTCGGCTCCAAGTTCCGCCGGCCTATATATTGGCTCCTCATATATAGTTCAACATAAAATTGAGTACTGGTACAGTATACACATTCAAAACATATATTGTTTTCTCTTTAAGAGCATGTCCAATGGTGGTAATTTTAGAGATTTTGGGTTCAAATTGGCTATGCCAGTAGTCCAATGGGACTCTCCAAAAAGTGGGCTCGAGTTTTGGTTTCCGGAATGGGTCGCTAAAAATGACAACCCTGTTGGCGATCGCGGGCCTGCTTACTTTGTTATTATTATTTTATTTATTTTAGTGGCCCAAAGTGTGTAGGCTAGACTTAATTTTAAGGGCGTGTTTGGCTTGAAAAAAAATTGTAGAAACCAGTTTTTTTTGCCTTTTTCTTTTCTTTTTTTTTTTCCCTACATAACTGAACCAAAAGCCATTGTTAAGGCTGGCTGACACAAATAGTGCCTTAAAAGTATTTTTGGGCAAAAAAAAGTTTTAAAAATAGAGAAAAGTGATTTTTTTTTTTTCAATCAAACTACAGTCGTTAGAAAAAGTTAAAAGAAAAAAATTAAAAATTTAGAGATATATTGTCACAAAAACATATTTTTATAAATAAATTCATATATTTATTTTAAATTTATATGGTATTGTATTGTTTTAATTTTTATAACTCATAATATATATTGTATTATTTATTTATTTTTTATGATATAATCATTAAGAAAAAGTTAAAAGAAAAAAATTAAAAATTTACCGAGCAAAAACGTAACATTAGCTGGACTATGGAAAATCTATGAAAAATGAAAAATGTTGATGTGACTTTTGAAAAAAAATACTGAAATGACAAATTCAATGTGACTAACGATGATGCTCTAAAGCTCTTCAAGCTTGAACATGATATCAGGTCCTAAAATCCTCCTCTCTTCTTCCTCCATTGTAGCAGTTCAATCGGTGGTGCTCCTTCCTGGTGGCGTTCAAATTACTGCCCAAGAAGTTCATATATTGCACCCCTCGGAAACTGCTTCTTCAACCAGCCTTTTTAGTTTCAGATCACAAAACATTGATGGATGAAACACTGCTTTGAAACAGTCCAAACAGAGCCTCCACCCGAAGCTGCTGCTTCTCCGTTCGTTCAAACACACAGCTGCCACGCGCCACTACTCTGCAAAACGACTCATTGAGAATATATACAGTATATATATATATATATACATATACACATATCAAATCATATATGTAAAGAAGTCTATGGAGATTGTTGGGAATCAATTCCTAACGAACTTTATAGAAAAGATTCGGATCAGATTTCTCCTATATAAAAAAATAATAATAATAAAAAATAAAAATCACCCCCTCAATCAGGGCGCTTACCTATTTTTTTGACCAAAAAAAAAAAAAAAAGTCCCTTTAGAGACTATTTAATTTTTTTTTAACACTTTAGAGAAGATGATGCAGTTAACAAACACAATCATCCGATCCTCTTTTATTCAAAATGTTCCTTTGACAAGTTTTATTTTAGTTTTTCCCTCTTTATTTATTCAAAAAGTTCCTTTTACAAGTCATCCAAAATTTGGCATTTTCAATATACTAAAAGCACCTCCAACCGTTATATATATATATATATATATATATATATATATATATATATATATATATTTTGTGTAAATTTAATATGTTATTATAAATTTACACAAAAAATTTGAATTATTTATTTTTAACTCCAGCAATTGTTTTATATTTTTTGTGTAAAAATTGTTTTATACATTTTGTGTAAAAATATATCCCCCAATAACAATCAACTAATATCATGCATGAATCCTACATAATTTTTACAAACATAATTAATAATTTAATATAGGGTTGATTCCTTAATGGAATGAGAAAGAGGAAGGGGAAAAGAAATATACTGATGTGACTCTGTAAAAAGGTTTGTAAAATACACAACAATTTTATACATTGGTGATGTGACAGTGTATCTTAAAGACTGCTCGAAATAAATAAAAAAAAAAAAAAAAAAAATTACACATCATATGTGGCCGTGTATAATTTAAACAAAAAGTATTTTAACAGACGGTTGGAAATGTTCTAATTGATTAAACTAAAAAATCTAATAAATATTTAGAATCAAATGTACAGCTTTTCACAAAATACTATATTTTTAAAACAATCTTTCTCAACTAATGGATTTTAATTCTTGAATTACCATTGATCTGAGTATGTATCAAAAAGTTTCATCACCCACCACCGATGATCTATTATTTTCCCTTAATTACATTTAATTATTGGGGTTTTAAGTTGAAATTTGATTGATAATTTTATATGTAAAATATGGTACACTTACGTAGTTTTAAAACACACAAAAATTTTGAATTATTTATTTTTAATTTTAGCATTGTTTTATACGTAGTACCTTTTGTATAAAAATTGTTTATATCTTTTGTGTAAAAAGATATACCCCAATAACAATCAACCAATATTATTCCTGAACCGCACATAATTTTTACTAACATATTTAATATAGGGTTTATTCCTTAATGAAATGAGAAAGAGGAAAGAGAAAGGAAATATACTGATGTGACGGTGTAAAAAAGTTTGTAAAATATACACATCATATATGGCCGTGGATGCTCTAACTGATTAAACTAAAAAGATCGGATAAATATTTAGAATCAAATGCACAGCTTTTCACAAAATACTATATTTTTAAAACAATCTTTTTCAACTAATGGATTTTAATTCTTGAATTATCATTGATCTGAATATGTATCAAAAAGTTTCATCACCCACCACCGATGATCTATTATTTTCCTTTAATTACATTTATTAAAAGGGGTTTTAAGTTGGAATTTGATTGAGGATTTTTTTTGGATGAAACACAATATATGTAAAACATGCGTGACTGCCTAATCACATCTACTCCAACATAGCTTTTTTTAAAAAAAAAAACTTACATATTTTAGCGATTATAATTTTAATGAATAGCGTTGCAAAAGTTGTAGAAGCAGCAAGCTATATACTACGTATAACAACTCTCTTTTTGCAAGTAAATAAAAACATACCATTTTCTCCCCTAGTATGATCCAAATTGCTTGTAATATGATCCAAATTTTTTTCATGGCAATAATGTTAGGGCTCCCAAACACCGGAGCAATCCAATCAATAGGCAACACGATACTTACAAATTGTCCAATATAGAATATTATATATATATATATACACACATCATTCTGATAGTAAAATTAAATATACAAATATACCAATTACTGACACAGAGGAATACACTCCTGAAATTTAACAAATAAAAAAAATCTAATTCAAGAAAAAATATATATATTATTAAAAAATTTATTTATTTAATTCAATAAAAAAAATTAATTAGGGAAAGACCTAAATATTCCCTCCCCCTCCCTAAAGTTTATTTGAGAGCACATGTAATCTAACTCCTTTGCTATTTGAGACACATGATAGGGTCTCCCTCCCTCCTACAGAAACCGGTTGTGGAAGGGCGAAAACGAGTTTTTAAATTGTTTTATCGAGATGGAGATGGGGGCATGCACAAAAAAACCCATCTCAAATTTTTAACAAAGATGGGAGGTAAAATTGTGTAGCGGGACAAGTAGTGTTCAATCAAACCTATCTCGAACCTGTCCTGTTGTCATCCCCAACTAAAATTTTCTCTAAAAGAGATTAATTCTCCTTCTGGCACGAAAGAAGAGAAGTTTGAAGGAAATTAAAAAATAATAATAATAATGCTTCTGTAGTCAGGAAAAATGGGATGTGGTGACTTTCCTCCGTTTCTTTCCCTTTCCTCTTCTCCAAAATCAAACGAGTGAAGAATGAACTTTCCATCCCCCCCTTTCCTCTTCTCCAAAATCAAACGAATGAAGAAAGAACTTTCCATCCCTTCCCCTTTTCTTTTAGTCCCCCCTTTCTTCCTACCAAATGAAGTGCAAAACTATAAAACCTGGCAGAATGAAAAGGAAAAGAAAAAACACAAGCACACACACATACATAAATATATATATATATATATATATATATATATATAAACATACAAAATAAAATTGAACTGCACTTAAAAAGGCAGGCATGTGATCAATAAAATGAAAATAATGTTCTTGCATTTCTCATCAGACAGGAATTTCGACCAATACTTGAAATGACTAATTGAGAACTGTTACATGAATCGCGGTGAGGGGGGAAAAAAAGAAGAAGAAAAAAAAAGGGAAGAACAAAATGAACATTTATCTCGATTTTACATCACAAATACCTCTATTTACACAATGGGGGCTTCAACGCCGCAGAAGTTACAGTATAGTACTACCACCTCTTCCAGCAATAATACCCCCTTCCCCCGGTTCTTTATTGGATAGAGGAGAGAAATACACGAATACATGACAGTTCCATGAAAGCTCTTTTACTTGTTGCGCCAGCAGCTTTTACATTTCCAGCACGCTAGTATCAACTGTTCAATTTCGACCAGCTTCTGAAGAATGATGACACCAGAAGCGAAATATCATTTGCTTTCCTCTTCCTCTGAGAATTAAAAGAAATGAGTTCAAAGTCCTATGATCTTTGAACCTTTTGCACATGTTACAATAACTCATCATATGTGTATATGTGTGGCACCCGTGATCTTAAACTGAACCAGAACATCAAAGCTTCAAAAGATGAAGATTTACCATATCGGTTTTAGATGTCAAAGAAAATGCATGTTATGAACTAGAAAGCAATCTGTGGAACCGTTGTACTCTAGCAGAAAACCCATTTGAATTTGCTTGATCATTGCATGAGATATTATGATGCAACGTTTTCCTTTTTCGTCGCATCCGGCACAAGAAATCTTCCGTATCTAAAACATACGAGACCTACCACAAACCAATTTGCCTGACTTAGCACAGTTACAATTCAAATAAGCAATTAAATGAAGATAAAAATATAGTTTCTCGGTAATTCCTTTCTGATAAAAAAAATTTAATACCTTGGACGAATTGCAGGCTATCTTACACTCCAGGCCATTGACAACTTGAAGTCCTTCCATGGCTTGGCATGTAGCAGATAATTCATCTCCACATGCATATTGGCGTTTATTTCTGCAAGTACAAGCAGGGGCATCAACAAACTAAGAACACTTGACTACCGTCAAAGTTTTAAGAACTATCTATTGCATACATACCTCCTCAAGAAAATCCCCGACTTCTTTTTTTCAGGAACAACTGAGAGGAAGTCATTGTACAGATAAGCTGCAAAATTAGGGTCCACAGAAACAGCAGTAACTTCAGGCTTGTCATGCCCAGAGTCCATGAGTTGTATAGACAAACGGGTTGGTGCAGATGACTGCAATTAAATTCAATCCATTCATATATCAGGATACATTTATAAAATTCCCAACTATCATCAACTAAAATCAAACCAGAATGTTACTTGTCAAAAAAATATATATATCAAACCAAAATGCAATAAGAAGAGCAAAAGTAACAAAGACTTACACATTCGATCCGATATATGTTCTCATCATGAAGAAGAACACGGGCATTTTCATGATAAACAACATCAACAAATCTCCCAGGTTTTCTTGATTTTTCATATGCATACAGTTGAAGAAGTTTGTTGTCCATTTCATCTGTCGCAACTGTTTGAAGCTGTGAAAGGTGCCATAGAAATGAATCTTTAGGTCAAAAAGGGAGAAAGGAATACAGAAGAACACATGAAGAAAAATGTGTGAGTGCATATTACCTGTTTGACAAGTTTATATATCAGCTTGTCTAGTGTGAAGAGAACATATGACTGAGTTCCTATTATAGCTCGGCAATCATCTTCAAATTTTGTATTATCGGATGTACCATCAAGCAAATTGTAAAGGGCATTCAAGAATCTGTAACACGTAAAAAGACGATTCCAAGTTAATAAGCAATATTATTTAGAAGTTGTTTGAAACCAAAAATTGTGAAGCTAAATCACCTAGTATACATATCAGTCGATGTTGTGTCGTTTGAAGCTCTCCATTTCTTTTCAGCAGAAGAAGAATTAATCTTTGCTGATTGTATTCTCTCATAAAGAGTCTGCCAAATGTAGAGGGGAAGTAATAAAAATAAAAATAAAATGTTAAGGAAACACTCGTATACATTACCCCAAAAGATCAATCGAACCGTTAACCAGGAATCGATTCCAAAGAAAGAAAAAAGATAAAAAGGAGACTTACTTGATGAAGCCTAAGAAGAACATAGAAGGAATCATTTCCATAGAAAATCCGAGAATCACTCTCTTTGTCATGTAACGCAGAAGGAACATGCTTTGTAAGAGGCTTTACAGTTTGGAGAAAACGTTCTGAGAATGGCAACAATGTTCCATCTCCTTCAACATCATGGGCATCAGCCATCCCTTCAGCCTCACCTTCACTCTCAACTTTGTTATCATTATCATCATGATCTCCATCCTCTTCATGCTCTTCACGGGAGCAATCTTCACCATCAGCAGACTCACTTCCTGAAACATCACCATTCTCAGAAGCATTCTCACTGTCCTCTGATGACCTCTGAGGACTTTCCTCTCCTTCGTCATCAGCATCAGCATCATTTTCTCCGCCTGCCTCTCCACAGCATATTTCTTCTCCATGTCCAGTTTGATATTGCGCGATTGCAGCACCATCCTTTGATTTTCGAGCAGCCTCTACAGCGGCATCTCCATATGCTGCAAAATTATCCTCCTCAAAATCTCCATTTGGTGATAACTCACCCTCCTCTCTTTCAATTTTATAGTGCCCTGCAGATTCTTCATGGTGATATCTGTGAACTTTAATGCCTTCTGCCATTGTTCCATTTGAAGATGAAACTGGTCTTGTACAATCACCACCCTGTAGCATTAAAAAAACCACACAATCCTTGAGCAATAAATAACCAAGGATTCAATATTTGATCAAAACAATCATAAACCAAATCATAACATTTTCTCAATAACCAGTTTGCATTCAATAGCCATAGCCAACCAAAAAGTCCTGATGTTGAAGGACAATGGAATGGTGAAGTTAACTCAATCATTAGATTTTTCAATCAACAGCATTCTTAACAAGCCATCATTTAAGGTTTAAAACTGGTGTCTATCCTACTCAATTAGAAGTGATTTCTTTTATAACAGAATTATATAGCTTTTATATCTATAGATATCCAGTTAAAAGTGTGACTTTAAGGAGGAAGATGCAATGGCCTAAGGACTGTCCACCGATGACCGCAAAACAACCTGGAAACTCCATCGCTATCAAGTAAATATTAAGTCATTCATATCTCAATTACAAAAAAAAAAAAAAAAAAATATGAACAGGCAGAGGAATTGAGGTGTAGTTACTCCATTTCAGACTGTGAGGGAGGAAAGTGCGAGCAAAAAGGAGAGGGTGTTGAATTCATAGACTGATGCCTTAAGTTGCAGGATCATTCTCAAATGCTTTAAGATTTTCCACTCACAAATATAAATACCACTTTAGGAAATGACCTATTTTAGTGAAATAAATTCATCCAAAAAGGAAGAAAACCGTAATAAAGCCTCATTGCAACTGCATTTTACCTTGAGAAAATGGTGACATAAGTTCATAAAAGATTGATGCCAGAGCTTGGCAAGAATCTATCATGACAAGCAATATAGTTTCAGCAATCTCCCTCATTTCTATCCCAACCTCATTTCAATATGAAATACAAGCCTAATGGCAAATACTGTACATTAAACCTGCAGAATACAATCAATTTTGTCCCACAGCATTACTTTCCTAAGGTTATGAACCTTAACTATCAGTGAAACTCTAAATGTCTTTGCACTTTAACCACATCCTTAGGATTGAATTTCCAGATGAGAAGATACAATTGGCTGTCCAAACTGAAGCATCCAAAACCAATGCAATAATAACCAGAACACTGAGCGACTATATGCCAATAAAAATATATATATATATTATTAAACATAAGTTACAAGCAAAACTAAGCCAATTGGTTCAATTGGGGCCAGATTGGAAATTGTAAGCCTATGCTTTATAAAAATAAAAGATGCTAAAAAGTAAAACTAATCAGCTGTTCTTTCATAACCTACATGAAAAACATATTTTCTGATATTTAACCCGACTCCCTGAGTCTCTTATGCAAAGAGTGGGAATAAAGAGGTTAGGAAGAAAAATAACACCAATAATTTTAAGTGGGAAAAACCAGAGTTTTGATAAAGAAAAAAACACTAGTTCTTCAACTTAATAAAAAAAAGTCAATTTCTACTTATAAAAAATTAACGAATGTTAATTTCTACTTTTTAAAAAACAATTAATGTCAGCTTCACAAGATAAGTGCTAGCAACTTTATCCATACCTCTGATGAAGGTACACTTTCATTACTGGGCCTCATCTCATGCCCACCCTCAGCAGAAGCATTACCAGGTCTAGTAGGAGTAGCACAAAGCCCTTGCAATAATAAAAAAATGTATCTCAGAATCCCAATGATCAATTTGATAAAAAAATGAAACCAACAGCATGAATGGCTGCACTCACACAGGTCAGAAAAAAGAAGCAATGGAATAAATACAAGTTATATAAAATTGAAAAACATTCTGCAAACCTGATGTATTTTCCACTTTGGCTCTTCCATGAATTTCCTCGGCCCCAGTAGCAAGGGACACAATTGAATTGGCTATCTGTTCATTGGAAGTAAGATGTTTACTGACCCCAGACGTTTCATCAGCCATGATGGTATTACACTGCACATTTCCATAGTGAGATGTATTGCAGAGAGTATCAGTCTTACGGGGAAAATGATCTGCATCATGTGAACCATCTTCTTTAACCCCATTATCATCATTTACCAACCAAGCTCGGCACGAACTTGATTGTTCAGGTGGCGTACTTTCATCTGCTTTTCTAGGAGGATTTGATTGTTTTCCATTACTGACAGATGCACTTATAACAGGACTGCTATCACTTTCTCCAACATTTGCAGCACCACTTTTGGTAATGTGATTCTTAGCCTTTACGGCATCTTCAGTGTCCTCCGCCACATGAGGTCGAGAAGGAACACCAAGCATTGGTTCCACAAAGGTCGTCCAAACCTTCATGACTTTATCCAACTGCTCAGTTGAACAAATTTCTCCACAAGAATATTTTATCAGATGGTACAGGTCTTCATGGATTTTCAAATCAGGATACTCAAATTCCAAATTTGGAATAATAGGTCTTCTATTTCCAGCAGCAATAGCAAGCAGCACATCATCCTCCTTGCGTTTCTTTTCACTGATTTCTTTGATCTCCACCAATAAGGCTGTAAAAACGTGGAACATGCTTTAGTTGAACATTTTATCTTCCACTAAATATACCATTCTATACTATCATACCATCTTGTTTGCTTTAAAGGAATGTTTACAATTTTTTATTTTATTTTATTTTATAACAAACACTTAAAAATTTAATAATATATCATGATTCTCGGTTTACAAAGATATAAGTTTGAAATCACCTTTTGTGCTCAAGCTCTTTGTATCCTGCTGCTTGAAATAAAAGCTCCGATGATCAAGTGATTTGTGATAGTTCTTAGCATAAATTTCGGCCCAAACTTTATTAAAATCAGAACGACACCTTGCCCACTCCTCTTGCTTCTGCTTCAAGCGAGTTAATATTACTGGCAAAGCAAGAGGTGCATTCTTCTTTAACACCTCCATCACATCAAGGCCGTGATCACCATACAAACGTTCAATGCACCTTAGATTCAGAGCTATAATAGCAAAAAAGAAAAAATTATCAAATGCGACGGCATTAAGGGTTATTTCACGAACTCACTAGTCAATTATCAGGCTATTATTACCTGTAAAATGGTCCTCAATATGAATTGCACTGTCTGTTTTAATTGTATTATCATTAATCTTGTCCAATAGTTCTTCTACACGCTTAGTTGTCACATTCACAGACTCTAACAACATGTCCAGCTCAAACCTGACACCATAAATACATTTAGCTTCACCAATTGCAAAACCCAATACAACGAAAAACTAAACATATGTATATAAATGGGTGTATATACAAAAATTGATTTCACATAAAGGACAAAATGGAAAGGAGAGAAGAAAGATTGTATAAAAATCATCAAATAAAAATGAAAAATTATAAGTGGGATATTACCACCAAAAACTTGTTTTCAACAGAGAAACAAAAGCATCACAAAACTAGGATAATATTAGAGATTAAAAGCCAAAGTTATTGCAAGAGACAGATAATGTAACCCAAGAGGCCCTGCAGGGCCAGGGAAATGAATGACTCCATGTCATGTATAATAAGAAGATAGAAGGTAAAGTCATAATATTAACAGTGAAACACCCTTCCCCTACCTGTCATCTTCACATCGGAACAAGCTTTCCTCGTACTGGTTCTTGCGCATGTGTTTAAAGGAGTAATCCTCGCTTCCAGAAGTAACAGAAACCCAATGATCATTCAATACTTCGGCGCCAAGCTCTGTTCTCTGGCTTGCTGAAGGAATTGGATACTGCAGAAAGCAAATATCAAGGCCACATGATTACAAAATTTAGTAACATCAAGGCCATATCATTAAAGTTGAAAATTTTCCTACATTCTTTGGCAGAAGTCGGTAACTGGGGGTGCAGCGCTCGCAGTTAGAAAGGTCAAGTTCTTGAATGGGCTTCGCCATATACTTATCCTTGCTTGAAAATAAAGTCATCTTGTGGCCTGCTACATCTTTACTGCCAAAGGCTACACCTTTGTCAGTTCTATCCCTTTCTCTGTTTTCGCGATCTCTATCATTATCTCTATCGTCCCTCTCATGATCTCGATCTCTATCCCTATCCTCGACCTTCACTGATCTGGGTAAATGTCCTTCATTCCACAAGGACCCTGCAATGAATTAAAAGCCAGGTTTATAATTAGAATCTGTGTACGTCTTAAATATTTTTCAACGCCTCCATAAATGGTTTAAGTTTCCCGTTAATGAAAAATTTTACTTGTGATGATGAGCCAAGAGATGCATATCTTAACAAAAAAAAATTAAGAACAAGAATATCAAAACTCACGTACTTTTACTCATAACACCAGCAAGAAAACCATCTGCAGGAAAAGCATTAATTAGATTCAGTCCCAGAAATGCAGAATCCAGAAAGATAAATTATATATAGTAGCCCAGTGAAATATACAAATAAATAGAACAACTTAAGTATTAGTTATCAACTTTTACCAATCTTCTCACAGCGCGATAAAAATTCATTGAATCCTTCCATGAGGTCCGAATATTTTCCAAGCAAATCACTAACCTGACACAACCAAGAAATCCCATAATGTAATGATCACATCTACAATATGTGAAAAGAAACTCTGTAAGTATGGAAAATTCTTTATTTAGTGATGGTTAATAACTTCTTTTGAGAGCTTGACAGACATTCAGGATAAGGCATTGAGCCAATACAAGAGGAGGTGGGGGGGGGGGGGGGGGGGGGGATGATGGGGTGGCCTAAAAAATTTGTCTGGCAAGAATAAAAGTGGGCTATATGTGCACTTATCAAAAAGGAAAACAAAAATCCCATATTAATGTGGATGCATAATATATATATATATATATATGTGTGTGTGTGTGTGTGTGTGTGTGTATACCATAAATTTCTTTTTATGAGGATCGACTAATCAAATGAGATTTCTGTTCCAGTTTTTGCCTTTTTTCTCCCCCCAAATCAAACTTTTCCTTGCCAATTATGTTATTTATCAATGAGAAAAAAATACTGTCTACTTTAGAGTGTAAACAAATAATAATGAGTATGATCCAAACCTCACTGCACCTAATTAGAAGGGAAAAAAAAAATCTAACTAATAAGGCATTGCACTGCATCTATTTATATATTTTTCCTTAAAATAAGATTTCTTAGAAAAAAAATAAACAACAATCATGTAGTAATATAGTGACATTTGAGGACCAGGCATTTAAAATATTATTCTGTACAACAAGTAATAATAGCTGCACCTAATTAGAAGAAGATAAAAATCCAATTAATAAGGCATTGCACCACATCTATTTATATATTTTTCCTTAAAATAAGATTTCTAAGAAAAATAATAAACAACAATCATGTTGTAATATAGTGACATTTGAGGACCAGGCATTTAAAATATTATTATGTGCAACAAGTAATAATAGAGTTTTAAATAACGGTTGTTACAAGGGCATAACAACATCTACATAACAAATAAGAGGTCTATGACTGGATACTGCACATTAAGATGTTATTATGCCCTGTTAAAAGCATCTTATTTCTTATTCACTGTGTTGACAGCAATAATCTGCTGTAATAAACTATAATGGTACCTTATTTGCCATTACAATATCATTATAATTTTGGAATAATATCACTCAAAATTCCTTACTTATTCTCCCAAATTCCAGACTTATTCCCCAAAATAAGATCACTCCTACGTCCTTAGATATAGCCTCCAATAGCTCAAAATCACAAGGATTGAAGCTTAGATCTTGAATAAAAAGCTTCCAAGAGTATATTGAATTGATAAAGTTCGGTTTTTTTAAAAAATAATAATAATAACAAATCTATCATTTCACTTGATTTTAGGTTAAATATATCATACAGGGGTACTAGTGCAAACACCGTCCATCTCTCTAGTCAAGTGGCAGAGGATCCAAGGATTCTGTCCAAGGGATTCCCATTAGACCTAGAGCAAGTGTTGGTGGGTCTTTTTCCGGAACTTCTGATCTACAATTCAAATTTTTTATTACTTTTGTTTGATTTTCCCAGGTTTATTATTATCATTTTATTTAATAACATTTATATATTTTCCAGTTCGAGTGCATTTTTTGTCATAAAATTACTGAAAAATTAAAATTAGTAAACTTTTTTCATAACATAATGGTAGAACACCATATTAAAAAATAAAATAAAATATTTAATTTACAACATAATGGTTGATCACCATATTAAAATATATATATATATTAAAAAGAAAACAAAATTCATTAAAAAAACTTTAAATTCACAAACTTGTGAAATTCTGAGATTAATATTCCTGTTGGTACATCTTATACATCTTAATCAGAGTTGGGCAATGTTGACAAAATTAACGGCTCCAATGACTGTTCCTGTTACATAACTCCTATTATACCTGCATATAGCTGCATCTGCTATACCACTTCTGCTGCTCTAAAGGCAGCAGTTATAGTTACCTAAGATCTTGAGTAATACGAAACTTGCTTCACTATTAAAACAAAGGTAGAAAATACAATATAACAATCTGAGACCAACTGCTGCAGCAGAAAGTTTACAGATGAAATATATGCATCTCAAGTTTGAAATCTAGTTAAGCTTCAACCAAACCACAACATCTCCTCCATCTAGAATTATATCTGCTTCCAATATTGTAGTGTAAGACTGAAATTTATAGGATTCAATTTGATAGTATTTGACGGAAAACTTTATATACTCTCATTTTTTGTGGGTTTCGGATAAGATTTGTGAAAAGTAAGGGTCTAAAACAAAATTATTGAGTCCAATCAGCAGCATCAGAAGTATATTAGAGCTTTAGCCTTAACCAACTACAGTTTGGCAATGCCTTTAATGCAAGTGTCCTTGTCCATTACTTATCCAAAAAAAAAGGTGTCCTTGTCCACAAAAACAGTCCCAAAACCACCAAGCCTTTAGCTCAAGTGGTATCTACTCATCCTTCCACATGAGAGGTTGAGGGCTCAAGTCCCTGTTGAAAAAAATAGTGGGTGTGTGTGGTTGGGTGTGTGTGTACCTTCACCTACCAAAAGGAAACAGTCCAGTTCAATAATAAAATCTGGCATCATTTCACTAGGATAATCTATTTCTTGAAAGGTATTAACATTGTATCACTCCAGCACACTTTGCAATATAGGAATGAAAGATGATGGTAGAATTTTTCTACCTACTATACTTGGACAAATTTAAAGCCCAAACAAGAAAAGAAAGAAAGAAAGCATGGATAATCATAAAGAGATTTAGAAGCAAGGAGAAATATGAGTATACCAGATTCTGCAATTCTGCTCGTGAAATTATTTCTCTGCTATAGATATGAAGGCACTTCAAAAATTCCTGGTAATCATCAGAATTACGCACTCTCTCCTTCACCTTCTCACAGAAAGCAAACTCTTGGCTGTACATACCTGCCCTCAAACAAGTTAAATTCGGAATACAATCAAAAACTTTACAAAACGGAGAAACTCATATAGCAAAAAACACTTGGAAAATACAAGTTAATAAAACTCTAACCAGGAACAGAAAATATAGATCCTAATCACTCTTCATGGAAGAATAAAAGTATGATAAGTATTAAAGCAAGTGGTAGGCACAAGTGTCTTTACTCCAGTGGCATAAATCTGAATTTTCACAAGCTTGATACCACACCAGATAATACAAGTACATACACATTAATTTCAAAGAAAATCTAAGTGGCATCCCAGTACATGCACACAAGTTGTTCAACTGCTTTCCTGCTTCTGACTTTCCAATGACAGATTTTATTTAGTTGGTATTTTTCACAGATAAAGCGTGAGCATAGTAACTTTGATACGCTACATAGAAAGAGATACAAAGGAAAGAAAAAGATTTAACAATCTTTTAGATATCCAACTTTTGAGAACAAGTAATGGGTCCTTTCTTCAGCTTGAAAATCCATTAAACCAAAGCTTCATGAGTGGGAACTGTAAAGGCCAGTTTGATTTCAAAACTTTAAACAAGTAGCAATATCAATTTTCAAAAGATATTTCAACCAACCTTCCAACTACCAAAAAGCTTTCACTCGATATTTCTTTTATTTCAAAAAGTAATTTAGCCAATCCGAGTTGTTAAATAAAAAGATAGTGTTACTTATCAAAAATAAATAAATAAATAGTTTTACCTAGCAAAAAAGAAAATAAAAGATAATGTACCAATTATGCCTATGAATCAGCAAATAGTGCAATCACTCACTTTTTAAGGCCATTTTATCATCATAAGAGGATGATCCAGGACGGATTCCAAAATTTTCACCGCCATCCCCACTCTGATGTAATTGGTCAGAGTCTTCAATCCTACGAGCGGATTTCCGTTTGTGGGAAATACGCTGCATTCCATCATGGTCATAATCTCTATCATCCCGTTCCCGTTCTCTCCGATCTCTGTCATCCCTTCTCTCCTTTTCTTTTTCGATACGTCTCCGCTGCTCTTTGTCAGCCCTCAACAATGCTTTATCATGGTCAGGATCAAGCCGGTCAACACTGATGTCACGGTCAGCATGTGAAGCAGTAGCCTTCTGGCAACAGTGCACAGAGTGGAAATATTACATTGGTGATCAGGAAGAAGTAAGAAAAAAGAGACCTAATATGAGGAGAAACAACCTTTTCAACATGCATATGTCTCATTGTGGGCATAGGTGAGCTCCTATCATCACGTCGGCATATAGAATTCCTGCCAGATGGAGCAAAATGTATGGAGGCCGCTGCCGAAGCATCGGGTAGAAAATGAGTGAACTCTGTAAGCAGGTCCAAGTGGTCTCGAAAAAGAGCAGCAACCTGCCAGGATGAAAACTCAAAACTAAGAAAAATAACTCTGGTACCCCTAGAATAAAAAATAAAAAAATAAGGTGGGAAGGGAATAGTGGAAAGCACTAAATAGCAGGTAACAGTAAATGACAAGAAAATGCAACAAACAAACCTCCTGATAGACCTCAGTTATGGATTTGTTTTCCTTTCTATACATATTCAAAATATCAAGAAAAGATTTATACACATGATCGTCGCCTTGAAACCTTGTCTGCAAACAAAAATCAAATACATGAGATGAACTACATTGGAGGCTAACTATAATGAAAATTCAACTAGGACATAGTGTTCCACCTTTATTTTGTTCACAAAATTGATTGCTTCTTCAAACTCAACAGGCTTCTTCACCGGATGTGTTTCGTCCTCACATGGAAGGGTGATCTCATACCCTTTGGGCAAAAAGGTATTAAAACCCAAAATTAGGTCCCGGTGCCCTTTAAACAAGTCCTTCACTCTTGCTATGACACCAGCCGTGTCAATACTGAAAACAAGTAAACAACATAAGCAGGATGAATCAAACACAATTTCACAAGGGAGTTGAAAAAAAAGCTGGAACTGATAACACAACAATCAAACCTTTGGGCCTTGAAATCTTTCATGACTTCAAGAAACTCGTCATACTTCTCCCTTTTCTCTTGGAAAATATCCTTCACTGCCTTGAGATATGCTAGGGCATCATTTGTTGTTAATTTTTGTGGTCCTCCTCCACCAATCATCTGGGATTGTCCAGAACTGCATTACCCACAAAATAATACTAATAAATAAACCCAATCACAAAATTCATCAGCTCTTTGAATAGATCACTACCCAGATAACAGGATTTTGGATTAAAAATTTATGCTTCAGATATATTCTCTCATCAATGAAAAATCAACGTGCTCCTACAAAAATAGACTTCAACCCTAAATATATCTCCATTAAAGAATGATACACTGAGTCACAAATCAAAAGGCAAAAAAGTAATATCCAAAGCTTTAACTCATAAATCAAACAGAATCAAAACCACTATACTAATGACCATACACTCATCAATTTCAGAGAACTGCTAAACAAACATGATTTCACCAAATAGTAGAAAAACTACAGAAAAAAATAAATAAATAAAATAGCATGATTAAAATTCCTAATCTCATTGTTATCAAGATTATTTTTTTATAATCAGAGACAGAACAACACAACATCAGCCGCAGATAATCGCAAAACAAAGTCAAATAAAGGTTTTTTTTTTTTTTTTTTTTTTTTTAAAAATGATAATAATAGTGTGAGAGAGAGAGCGAGGACTTACGGTTCAGCCCGAGAAGAGACGATGGGGCGTTTGAGTTGAGAACCCATGTAAACATCCTCTCTGGACCTCTTCATCTCTGTAATTAACTTCTAATCTTCAACAAATCATGCTTTGTCCAGACTTAAAAACTCCGAGATTACAATCCAAATCCTAACAAACACAACTCGCTCATTGAACCAACAATAAGAAGAACACACACAACAGATCTAACCAATACACATAAACACAAACTCACAATCAAATTTAATCCAAGTCTCCAAACAGATCACCTTCAAAACCACAAATCCTACAAAAACCAAAAAAGGGAGTAAATTACATTACTTGAATACAAAGGAAGGTAGATTTTCTAAATTACAGAGAGATAATGTTCCAATTTCAAAACTGAAAATCACAAACACAACGAGAAAGATCTTCAAGTCGGCGAAGAACAAAACTTTCATGAAAGAAAAATATATTCAAAATATTTACATACACATGATATATAGAATGATGGTTCTTGCTATATAGATATAGAGAGAGAAACACAGAGACAGAGACAGAGTGAGGGCATACGATAATTAAATCAGTCTTTCATCGAGAGAGAGAGAGAAATATAGACGATGCAATACACAAATTAGAGAGAGATTAGTTTTTTTTTTTTTAGAGAGAGAGTTTATATATAATGTTGTTGATATGTATGGGGATATAAAACACTCGCACAGAAGAGAAGAGAAAGAGAGAAGGAAAATTAAGGGTGTGGAGGTAGTCGTGTTGACGTCTCTTTCCCGGTTACCAAATGGATTGTTAACCGGTTATCAGTCCTACGTGTACGTAGCTAGGGCATGAACTTGAACTGCATAGTAAATAGGGTGAAGGGATCAAGGGTATAATTGTCCATTCACTGTGGATATATACATACATACGCTGTCCATACAGTACATTACTTAGAAATAGGATCCATCCACTTATGGGAAGAACTGTTTTTAGACTCAATTCTGTCTTCAATTGTTAAGAAACTTATACCAGTTTTGAATTTTAAGTATTCAATCATACATACAGATGGTGAAGGCATGCCCTAAACAATTTGTCAAAAAAGTTAACCTTTTAGGTTAGATTAACACTTTTTTTATTACGATGAAACTGAAATGATCTCTCGAAATGATTGGATGTTGCATTGTTACATCCTTCGGATGCAATGCGTTGGGACCCTTAGGAGACATGCTCGGCCTGCCCATTTTTGATTAAGTAACATTGTTTGTAGTAAATATGGTAAAAGATAAAGGTAGCAGATAGTGTTGATTCGTCCAAATGTTTGGGTGTGTGTCAAAATTGTGCATAAGGGTTTTGCAATTTGGGTTAGATGATGTTGTGTTTGACAAATTAGGGTTAGGTTAGGATTGGTATTAGGGTTGGGGCAAGTCCACGGTTATAGTGTTGATTTACACTAATGTTTGGGTGTATGTCAAAATTGTGGAGAAGGGTTTTGCAATTTGGGTGAGATGATGTTGTGTTTGACAAATTAGGTTTAGGGTTAGGGTTAGGGCAAGTCGGTTTTGTGTGGCTTTTTGATCTGTTGAGGTTTGGTTTGGTAAGAGTCCGTGAGTGGCTGTTGGTAACTAGGTAGTGGGATTTTAAATGAGGCACTCCAATATATGCGTGTACTCACTACCCATGAAGTAAGGTATAAAGGTAATTTCACTTTTAAATTTGGTTGTGAAGTAATTCTATTGGCGGTGCAGATTGGGTAATGGTTGGGTTGGGTTGGGCTGGGCCTGTAAGAATCCAATTAGTGTCGGGCTTATATTCGCATTTGTCCATATGTCTTTCAGCCCATTGGAGATAGTAAAAAGTCTGATCACTACTTGTAGGCCATTTAATATAGGGCCCCTCAAAAAAGAAAAAACCAAAGAGTAATGATACGAGAATCGAAAAGGAATCATCGAATTTAACGTGGTTGGTCATTCTTATCACGTGTTAAACAATTATTTTTAGAAACTATTTAAGTAGATGAGGTGGATAAAAACTCATTCGATACTTATTCTGGTTAATTCATCTGCATCCTTATCATTATTCAAAACAAAATAAAAATAACTAATTCAAATAAGGTTTTGAATTTTTGTTTGGGAAAACTATACTTAAGTATACTCAGCAATCCTAAATAATAAATCAGTCTATTTTAAAAGTTAATTTTTTTAATTTGGTTGAGTTAAGCAAAATAATTATATATGCGCATTCAAAACTATTACTTGGATCCAAAATACCCTCCAAACTTTTATTTCAAAATATTAAATTATCATTTCTAAATCAATAGTTCTTTCATTCTAATAAATTTAGAAAAACAAGATTTTCGAGTTGACTTTCAAATTAGAGGGCATTTTTGCATGTGATGTATATTACCAAAAATAAATAAAATAAAAAAAATAACATATATATTTATATAGAAAAAAAAATGTGCACTTAACTTTAACTGTATCTTCTAATTTATATCGGTTCAAATCTGCAAATGTCAATTTAAAAATATACAAATAATTTAGTGGAATATATATAGATTTTTTTCACAATAAGTGAAAATTCATTATAGATATATATATATATAAAATTCTGTGCGCATAACTTTAACCATATCTCCTAATTCATACCAATATAATAAACCTTACAAATGTGAAAACTTTCTTGTGCAAAGAAAACACACACACACATGCAATATACACACACTACACGCGCGGAGAAGAAGATCATGAAACTAAATGCTTGCTTCAATAAATGGTACAGCAATAACCATTTTTTTATTTATAAAAAAATGTAAATTGTGTCAAATGATGATCATCTCAAGCATATGTCACATCAAAAAAGGTTTTATTCTTCGCATGAAAGAGTTTAATTATATTATGGGGAGCATTTTTGAGTTTAATTATATTATGGGGAGCATTTTTTTACCATATTGATTTTTTTTTTTTTTGGTATAAATTCTCTTGTGCGTATTTTTTATATATATGTGTGTGTAAAGTTGCAGCAGTATGATTCAAAATTAAGTTAACGGAAAAATCTTATTTTTTAAAATTTTGTAAGTAAAAAATTATATAAAGAAAGTACTTGATTTAAGGAAAATAATTCAATAATTTGAAATAAGAGTTAGGAGAGTATTTTGGACTTGAAAAATAATTATTGATGCGTGTGTAAATATTTTATCTAATCCAATAAAAATAAAAAATAAACTTTTAAAATAGATTAATTTGTTATTTAAAAATCCTAACCCTGTGTAAGCATTATTTTCCTTTTTTGTTTTCCATTGCCATTTAAGAAATTTAGAAATACACTAAACACATTTGGTAACATTATTTTACTTTTTAAAATCTCAAAAAAAAAAAAAAAAAAAAAAAAAAAAAAAGGCACAACCCGTTGTCATTTTGCATAACATCAAAATGAAGCTGTGGCTTTTCATTTCATCAGTTTGTGTGTGTGTGTGTGTGTCCCCGAAAGTCGAAGTCACCGGCAATCAAATTTGAGTAGTACAAGCTTTCAACTCTATTTTTTCATGGATTGAAGCTTTGAATTTGGTTTTCTTCTAGTGACGGCAATTTCTCCCGATCCGTCGGGTTTTACTCGCCACATTTTTAGTGGGGTGAATTTAACAACCCTCTAAATGAATTTGTGATGAATATGATAAAATAATTAAAAATTTGAAACGAGTTTGAGATGGGGGAAGATTTAGTGATGAACTCGCCCTAATTATATATGTACCTTTTTTAAAATAAAAAAAAATTATATATAAAATATATATTTAATATTTATAAGACTCATGTTATTTTGGTGAAGTGTAAGTTGATATATTGGCATTCACTACTTAGTAATTTAAAAGTTGAATTAGCTTATTTTTTAGCCCAATTTGAGCACATTGATTAGATTTTTTTATTACATATTAAAAGTAGCAAAAACTACCCCGCCCCGTAATTAAATGTACGCGGGACGAAGTCGATGCTTTGACTGCTAGAATAGGAGCGAGATGGTATACCAATTAAAAATTCATTCCGGAATAAAGGCTGAGTTAGTATGATAAATTTTCTAACAGGTAGAGTAGGTTTTAGCCAAACTCGACTCAACTCCGCAAAAAAAAATAATAATAATAAAAATAAATAAATAAATAAATAAAGGGTAAGAATCCAACCATAGCCCTAGATCGATGTTGACCTCATACCTTCATCTCATTGGGATTATCTTCAAAATGTAAGACTATTATGGGTGACATGACAGGTGATTTTACTACTATATAAATAACTACTATAAATAACTGTTCCTCTCCCTTTAGTCCCTGCCAAGTGTCAACGTTATTTTGTTTCATTAATTTTTTTAAAGCTCTGTTTGCTAGACAGAAATAAATAAATAAATAAATAAAATAAAAATCCAAATGAATAAAAGAAAGATGTATTTGGTTAGAATAAAAAATTTGTAAGGAAGTTGTAAAATTATATCATTTAATGATTTGGATAGTATCATAGTAGAAAAATTAATACATCTAAATGAATTTATCTCAAATATATATATATTGTTCATTTAGAAAAAGAAATTAATCTAATGTGAAAATCTAAACAATCGTTTCCTAAAACATTTAGATACGCAAATACGAAGCAGAAAATCTTACGAGGGGAGCGGCTTTTAAATTGTTGGGACAAACTTATATAGTAGGTTCATTTTTGTAATTTTAATAGTGTTTTCTTCATAATTTTTTAAAAATTTATAGTACGAAATGCAAAAACAAAAATTTAGTGGGGTGAATTGTAATTTTGTGAGGGGCCGACTTTTAATTTGTTGCGGCAAACTTATATAGTAGGTTCATTTTTGTAATTTCAATAGAGTTTTCTTCATAATTTTTTAAAATTTATAGTATAAAATGCAAAAACAAAAATTTAGTGGGGTGAATTGTAATTTTGTAAGGGGGCTGCCTTTTGATTTGTTGGGGCAAACTTATATAGTAGGTTCATTTTGTAATTTCAATAGGATTTTCTTCATATTTTTTTTTTAAAATTATAGTACAAAATGCAAAAACAAAAATTTAGTTGGGTGAATTGTAATTTTAGTGGGGGCATCTTCATAAATTCACAAAAATTTGAAGTATAAAATGCAAAAAAAGAAAAAATAAAAATAAGAAGAAAGAATTCAAGGGGGTGAATTGTAATTTTAGTGGAGGTATTTTCATAAATTCTAAAAAAAATTGAGTATAAAATAAAAATATAAAAAATCTGGGGTTGTTTGGGGGGGGGGGGGGGATATGCCCCTTGGGTCTGTGCCTACATTCATTCCAGTCATTTAACCTTGGGTCTGTGCCTACATTCATTCCAGTCATTTAAAATATCATGCATGTATAGATGAATTTAGAGAACTAAAAAGAAAGGGTATAATTTTAAGTAGAACAAAGTTTCTAAAGAAAGTAAAAACTTTCTTATGTTTGTGTTTTTTTAAGCAAAAATTTGTGAAAAAATTAAGTGGTTATAGAAATTTACTTTTTTCTCAATAAATTTATTTTCATTTTATTCAAATATATTGAATAAAAAAAAAGAGTCATGTTAAAAAAAAAATTATTTTCTTTGTTTTCCCCTACTTTTCATCTAACCAAAAATCACAATTTGTTTGACCTCTCTCTGCTTTTAATTCAAACAATTTGCACCATCTAAACATTTATATATATATATTAATGATCTCTTACTCCGTAGGGAGCAAGAAAATCCAT